CTCTCCGTCTCGTACCTTGCTGCATATGCATATAAAACTATTCGTCTAGCACCTGTAGGTAATGTCATTACAAGTGTGCATTATAAAGGTGCGTGTGCTGTCCCATTATTAGTCAGTCAGTAAACATTCTCTCGTTTTTCTACCATTGAAGCCTCCTCACCCCCCTCCCCCCCATCCCCCGAGGGGGGATAAGTTAACAAGCAGGAATATGAATTTGTCCTTGAAGAGATAAGTTTCATTATGTACTAAAATTGTATTTTGCAAAGAAGTTAGTTCTCCCGCAGTTGCAGGATTTCAGTCATTTTTGTCATGGAGACATTTTAAAATGTCAGCTTTCTGAAAACACTACATAGCCTTTGTGGAACACATGACTTATGCAATTGAATAAGAAATCAACACTGTCATTACTGTTTGCACATTCACAGTGTTAATTTTCTTTCTCAAGCCTAGCTGTCACTCTCGTGCTTTTGGCTTTGATAGCCCCTGACTATAAACATTGGAACTGTTTATGGTAATGAGTCGGAAATGCAGGATACTAAGCGTTACTTTACAGTGAGACTGCCGGTACAAATTATGAAGCAGATTCATCAGGGTTACATCAAGACATGTTGTGATCTACTGCAGTTTAGTACAATGAGTATGGTTGTACTCCACTGGAGTCAGGAATACTCGACAGTATTGAATAGACGATAAGATATGATTACTCACATTTTTTTTTACGATTGTAGCGAGATTAATGAAGATGTATCACCTGCATGTATATCATATGTGTATCAAAACATCGACGCGTAGTAATAATAGGACATTTTCATTTCTGTATTGTGTACATTCGGGTTGACCCAGGGCAGCAAACTTTTTTACACAGAAGGAAGTAAACACAAATAGGAAACCTTTGCGCATGAAAACTTAAGGGAAATTATGTCAACTCCGGTTTTCACAGAGACCGTGACTTGCCAGAACTTGTGGTGCCAGAGTTCCTGTATAGGTGACATAGTCTGTTGAGTGTCGGGCACAAGCAAACCCTATAAATTCCTGAAAATCCAGCAGTTCATTTCAGACCTCCACCAGCTTTGCAATTTACAACACTGTCGTAAGATGGCGATATTTGCAGTGTGTAGGCCATTTCTCCTCTCCCTCTGCTTTGTCTTCACTTCTTGTGCTGCACCATCTTTCAACCAGTCTTCTCAGCTGCTACAATTATGCCAGATCTGCAAGTGCGACAGAAGGAATAGTGCCAAGCTGGTAAACTGCAGTTACGCAAAGCTGAATGATTCGGACTTGGCGTCTGCCGACCTCAGTGACACTCACACTCTGATTCTCAGCAACACAAACTTGGAGCATGTTCCTGATCTGCGGGCATCTCAACTTGTCACTTTCGACTTGTCGCATAATCATATCTCCGATTTGCGGGAAATCCCTGATGGGGCCTTTAGAAATTTAAGACGTCTGCGTGACCTGAACATGAGCCATAACCGTCTGTCTAAGATCTCAAAAGAGATGCTACATGGTGCTAAAGGTCTAGTCAATCTCGACATGTCCTACAATGAGATAAGCATGACAGCTGCAGATGCTTTTGCCGGTTTAACCAACTTGGCGACCCTGCAGCTAGACCATAATCAGCTGGAGGAAGTCCCAACTGTCTTCAAAAACAACAATATCGACTTACGGCAAAGCCTCCAGACCATCAATCTGAGGGGGAATCCCATCAGGGAACTTCCAGAGGATCCCTTTGGAGACCTGCAGTACCTACACTACCTGGACCTCAGCAGAATGAAGCTGGAATACGTCCATCCAGATGCTTTCAAGGGGCTCACCACAGGCCTATATGAACTTCATCTGAACTCTAACAAGCTTCAGACGCTGTCTGTGCAAACCATTCAGAACCTACGTTATTTGACCTCCTTGTCGTTGTATGACAACCCTTTGGCCTGCAATTGCACCCTGGCAGATCTTGCCAGTTACTTGGAGGCTCAACCTGACATTAGCATCGTCGATTTAGACACCACACACTGCAGTGTGGACGGCAGCCCAAATATCCTCTTTATCAGCCGAGAAATTTCCATGTTCTGCACATCCTTCCCAATGGTGGAAGTCATAGTTGGAGCTGTTGGACTTGCCGTCCTCATTACCTTGGTAGTCATCATAACATACTTCTACAGAAAAAGGCATAAATCAACTGGAAAACATTCACTGTCAGACCATGCAAACAATTCTACATTGACTGTAGAGACATCCTTTCAATTGACGCACGTCCAGACATCTGCAGAAGACAAAACCAACACCTTGGAGGTGTGCACACGCAGTGAGCACTTTTACTCTAGCATTAAGAGTCTGCAGTCTCCAGTCTATGCTTACGCACAAGTCCCTGGTGGAGTCAGTGGTCCGAAGACAGTTGAGCCAGTAGCTACTTACAAAAATGTGTCATGTCCCCAAGCTCAGCAGGCAGCTAACTATTACTTGGTGCCCTCCTGTAAATAAATGCAAAAAAACTCTCCCAAAGATGTGGAAGTGCTCCCTTAATAAGTAAACAGTACAGTATACGAATGACGTTAAACTGTTAGGTCAAACTTGATTCACTCAAGATTGCTCACCTATGCTTCAAATAGGCTTGTCTTATACATTAGATTCATAATATATTAGAGTGCATTGCATTACATTTAAGTTAGATTTATGTACCAGAGTGTACCATTTTCAGTTGATGTTATTTGTCTTTCCTCAAGTGTCACCAAGTGAAGAGGATCACTTTCATCTATTTGTTCCTCCAGAGCAATAGGCCTTTGCAATTATTCATGGAAAGTTGTGATGTGATGAAAATCTCTTACGACTGTGTGGCATTGTAGCAAAGAACATGTTTTCCCCTGCCGTAGACTTATCCATCGAAGCCATTCCTGCCATGGCACCACCGTCCTGAACAAGTAGTGGAAGTGCTTGATTACCCCTTCAACTTGGATGGTGTTGTGACTTGTATAAATGCACATGTAAGTCTAGTTACTAAGTATAGGTGCCAGAGTGCAATACCACTGCAGTAACGTCATCTGCTAGGAGGATATATAGTTGTGGCATCGATCAGAGTTCAGCATGGCGTAACCATGGTTACTGTGGTCATTTTAATGTGGAAATTACATGTTAAAGGACAGATTGTCACGTCAGTGCTAAAAGTATCTTACTGAAAAAGTGCATTAAAACGACCTTATTGAAAAATACTATTTTGAACATGAAATCAGGCAACAAAATTTGTTGAAGTGTAAATAGGCCAGCCCAAGAAAAGTAGTTGAATAAATAAAAGTGCAACAAATCTAGTCTGTTTCGATACAATATTTCTTTCATGCTCAAAGTAAGGCCAGAAGATATATTTTTAAAAATAACGTTTAAGCTGTAATGACCTTTTAGTACTGAGCACAGTTGTGGTCTGCCACAAAGCACTTTACCATATCCAGGTCCATTTACTCATCTGTAAAAATGTGTGTATATTCGTCATGTACTTGCATAATATGATAGTTTCCTGTTATTTGTCAGTGATTCTTAATGGAATGGTTATGTCATTTTGTGCCATGATGTCATCACATCCGTTTCCCCCATGATATAACGTTTTGCTCTGGGGTTGGTAGTGTGTGTGTAAAAATATCAAAGCTTTTGTAAGGGGCACAGTATCTTGAAGTATGGTACCGATATATTCCCTCCACATTGGGCTTACATCATCTGAACATCCTGAAACCATCTCAACTCCTGAACTTCAGGAGTTCACAAGCCGGGTCTATGTTTCAGTGTTCTCAAATTTTATGCTTACTTGTGAGGACACTCAAGCATCTTATTTGTGAAAAAAAGTTGATAGAGTTAGACATTGGGCAAATGGCAGATGTATTTATATCGCAAAGCACAACATTGAGTCTTGAGTCTGAGACTCCACATCCAGCTAATCAGCTGTACTAGGATTGATTGTAATTTGTTCAGGAAATAAAAGCACTGGTAAGCAGAGACACTTAGTTGTACAGTTGTTGGTAATTAATTCAAGAGCTTCCGTTGCACAGACAGTTTCTTTCATCTTCCCTCAAGATGACTGGTCTGCTCTATTTTGGCAATCCTAATAATGTCAGTACATGTACTTATTTTCCAGGAATCCAAGGGATAAGCTTCCCAGCCAGAAGTTAACCGAAAAGGATTGGTTCATGATAGGCAATATGTCAAGCAATTTCAACCTCTGTATAAATGCATCAGTATTTCTGAAAAATTATGACAATTGTGTTTGTACAAGACTGCATGCACTTTACTCATGTACACATGTACATGTCTGTACTTGTAGAGTGCAGAATGTAGTCTCCGTCAGTATTGTTTGCTCAAAAGAACTTGCCATATTTATTATTAAACTTGAACTTATTTTTTTCCTCATTCATTGTTATTGCATTGAAAAATCATTCTAGTCACACATATCTCTATTTAGACTGTCGCTGTCTAATCCCCAGTGTGTCATTAACATAATGGAAAAAATACATGTGTGTGCGCTTTTTCTGCCCAAGGGGCCCTCATTAATTTTCTTGCCTTGTGCACAAAGCCACACTTGCTTTTAGTCAGCCATTGTGCCGCTGCCCTGAGCTGAGTTATTTGGATAGTGGCTGAGTGATCATATCCGAAGGTGTGCCACCCAAATTACTATTAGGTTAGTTTCATATGCCATGTCAGCATATCTGTATTCTGACATGAAAAAAAGAAATTATGGATTTTCCATGAAGTTTTTGAACACTGTCTTGTGGGGGGGTGCATAGGAGAATTTTTGTGGTTCTGGTTGATATGCTTCTTCTAGAATCTTTTTTTCTCTCCTTTTTTTTCATCTTTTGGCGGGGGAATAAGCATCAGAAAAACTGCTTATCCCCTCAAAACATCCATTGAGAAAAACATGGAAATCAATGTTCACCATTTGCATGCTTCCTTTCCTGAGGTATAAACCAGCACCAGGTAATAGGGCTGAATCAATTCAAATAATTCACTATTCAAATATTTGACCTTCAGTTCAGTCGATATTCAAATATTCAGTTGTGCCAACCAGCACATTGTTGAACAAACTATATGCAAAATCAGTTGTAATAATGCACACAATTGTACATTGTAATCACTATAATATTTTCTCAAGTCTAGGAGTATCTCCAGCCATGGTTTAGCAAGATTGAAAAGATGAACAATACGTCTTGCCCTGTTGGAAGTTTCTATTACTTTTTAAATTTTTTAATGACTAATTTACTTTTTGAATCATTGTAATATTTCTGTCACTTTTCATTTGAATCTGCTTGAAACAAGCCTCCAAAGTCTCATTTAAAACAAAAAACTTCTCCCTTTTCATGAATTTTGTATTCGAATATTCAAAGTCAGAAAATAATATTCAAATATATTCGATAATTGATCGAATATTTGGATATTCGGCACAGCCCTACCAGATAATTTGCTTGTCAATTATCCCAGTGCTCTTATGAATTACAGGGCCTTCTGCTCCAAACATGTAATAACCTCAGTAGGATAAATATTGTTAAAAATGGGAAATATTTATGTATAAATGGTACTTTGGACTCTCAGCTCAGAGACCGATTTATGTATGAATGATTAATGACTCTGTCAGTTGAAGTCAATTTCATTAAATTTCCTGTTACATACCCCTTTCCCTAAATAATAATTGCAGTTTCTTATTATGATTATGATCTCATTCATAATTTGAATCTGCCTGCATTTCAAATCACTCTTCTTCGTGTTATCATATTGATCAGCTATGAGACCACTGCCTTGGAGCTTCTGTTTATTGATCAGTGAATGAATCGTCTGATCCACTTCTTGTTGATTCTTGAATTCGTTGTCTTTTTATTCATACAAAAATTACTGATTTGTATAATATTTTTCATTCTTAAAATCATTTCTCTGATAGTCCTTTGTAGCAGAGTTGCATTTCATAGATGGCACACTACAGATTTTTGCTTTCAACACCAGAAACTACAGTAATCTAAATATTGACAACAGTGGACCCTTTTGCTGAAAGTTCATTGTCTAAACAGACTAAAATGTTTCATTTCAAGCGTTCACGCTTGTCATAGTCTTGGCTCATGATGTCACTGATTGTTTCTCTTGCTTGAGAGAGCAGACAAGCTGGCTTTATCATGTCATTAGAGGGCACACTACAATGTGTAATTCATTCACCGGCATCTTCAACCAAGACTATGGCCGTGTCCAAATTAATTGGCTGCGGCTTGAAATCACACAGAACTCTGTGATAGTGGATACAGCCACCACCCATAGAGGCATGTGGGATTTCAAGCCACAGCCAAGTACAGCGTAATTGGACATGGCTTACCCTTTCTGGAAAGGGTCAGCGGTGTCCAGTCAGAGTATTAAAATCACATGTGTCGCAAGTCAACCTCAGTTTTAAGAGATGGCATGATTTTACGCCATCCACTTTTTCAAAAGAGACTTCCAAATATATCCACGAAATTACCATAGCAGGTCCCTTAGGGTAGGCTAATTAATTGTCTTTTGTTTTATGTACAGTGAATATCACATGCAGCATTTCATACCAATCATTTGCTTTCAAATTACCGGCCACACACAGTCTTTTACAATATGATTTGCTGGTACTTTACCCAATATACACTGCTCTCAAAAAAAAGTTAAGGACCACTTTTTATTTTGTGTATTCTTTTTTACATGAGATATTTTACTGCTGAAAATGTGCATTTCATGTTTTTAAACATTTTTAAATTTTTTATTCCAATGAGAACACTATCTAGGCAAACAAAAATGAAGGAACTAGACCCCACTCATTGCTTGGACAAAAATTACAAGTTAAGAAAAAATGGTCCTTAACCTTTTTTGAGTAAATGTAGTGTACATCTCATTAGCAAGATTCAAGAGCATAAAGCATTGCAATTTAAGGAATACATGTACAGTGCGTGTAACTCTCATCAGATATTCTGTTTACGCCATAAAACACCTTACTAGAAGCAATGTGCTTGCTTATGCATCTTCATCCAATGCAAACAAATGACCAACAAAAATGCACCACATGGGCACAAACATGTACACTGAATTTTGTAAATATTTGTAAATATTACAAAAAGAGGTAATCATCAGTGTTATTTGTCTTCAGAAGTTAACGACATTTCCATCAAATTGATACATTATCGTCCAGTGGAAATGAGCTGACGTTGTCCCTGGACCCGTAGCGCCGAAGCATATCTCGTAGTTTCCTTTGTCTTCGGCGATAGAACAAAATCGATAGAACCGTGCACAGTATGACAACTATGGCTAGGCCCACACAGCTTCCAATGGTCACCCGCCGCTGGTTCTCCTCATGGCCAATGTCCTTTGGGGGCGGAGCCTCACAGCTCAGGTCATGGGTGGGGATGTCGAAGATGCTCCTGCCAGCATTCTGTGGGGGACTGAGACACTTCGGCTGGTGCTCAGTGATGTTGAAAATCTGCTGTATCTGTGGAGCATCATAATGCTTGTCCACCCACTGGAGGAAGTCTCGGAGATGACAATCGCACGCCCAAGGGTTGTCCCCCAGGTCAATCTTTAGACTGTCGCTGTAGGGTATCGAATCCAGAGCAGTTTTGGGTAGGGTTGTAAGCTCATTGTTAGACAAGTTCAGCTCATCCAGATTTACCAGGCCATCCAGACCATCCTCCTCAATGCCACTCAGTTTGGAGTCTGTAATGAACAGCTTCTTTAAGCTGGTGGCATTCTGGAAAGAGAATGCAAGGATGTCGGTCACGGAATTTCGAGAGAAATCAAGGATTTCCAGCTGTTCGAGTTCACTGAGAGTGTGTGCTGGGATTTGCTTGAGAGCCACGTTGTCGTCTAGAAACAGCTGTTTCAAGTCTGGGGCATACTCAAAGTCGTTTTGTCGCACAGACCTAAGCTGACAGCTTGTGAGACGAAGGGTGTCTAGCTGAGGGATAGCCTTGAGAGCCAGGGATGGGACAAGACCTAGGGGATTGTTATGGAAGTTCAAGGTGTGAAGTTTGTGCAGACCAGAGAAGGTGGCCTCTGTGAAGCTGTCAGATGTCAGTTGATTGCCTCCTAGTTCCAGGTCTGTCAGGGAGTACAGCTGGCTAAAGGTCTCATCACCGACAGTCCTCAGGGCATGGTTGTTCTCCAGGCTCAGCATCTGTAGCTTGTGCAGTCCGCTGAAGGACTGATAATCACCGAGCTCCGACAGGTGATTATAGCGGATGTACAAAGTGGTGAGATGTTCCAACCCCTGGAAGGCGTTGGCAGGTATGTCTGTCAGGGCATTAAAGCTCAGTGACATCCACCTCAGTGCAGGCAGGCCAACAAACTGCCGGGCACGGATCCGCTGCAGCTTGTTGTAATACAGATATAGGTGGTCCACTTTGCCCAAGCTATCAAAAGCATTGGCGTCTATGTTCTGGAGGTTGTTGTAGTCCAAGTGCAGCTTGGTCAGTTCGGGCAGCCCGTGGAATGCATTCTCGTTGATGACCTCCAAGTTGCCCCTGCGGAGATGGAGCTCCCTGAGATTGCGGAGGTTATGGGGGACAAAGGTGTAGCCGGGCAGGTTGGTGAAGCGATGGCGGGGGAACATGAGAACGGTGGTTTCAGGAGGAATGTCCACGGGAATTTCTGTCGCGTCGGAGCAGGTCACCGTTAGACCGTCACATTCACACAGCTCGGGACAGGCCCAGGTGCCCTGTATCTCAAACCCTATCAACAGCCAAGCTAACAGTAGCACTCTGAGCTTTTGTCTCGCTTTGCCCAATTCAGTGACACCGCACATCCTACAAGTCTGTTCTGATCCTTGAACTAACTCGCCCATTGCCAGAATATTGTGCCGACAAACTCAAATACAGCCAGGCACAGGGTCACGACTGAACCTGTGTGTAATCAGCGGAGTTTCTGTGGTGCAGCAATGAACATAAAATACTTCTGGCATCCTTGGTCAACAAAGGCATTGTCAAGGCCATTCATTCCCAGTTCCGCTCATTCTGGGGTTGGATCCGCCCAGGCGATCCGCAGCTTCTGAAAAAGGAAAGTAGAATGAACAATAATCAAGCGCTGACAATGGTGATCTGCTAACTATTAAAGAGACTTCCTCAACTCACCGTCTGAGCTGGTTAGTGACAGATTTTATCAAAATTAGTAGGAATGGGAAGGAAATGTTGCTTAGTACAGCTGTAAAGTGTACATAATCCTATAGAACTTTTTCCTTTCATATTATAATCTGTGATCAAAAGAGCATCCTCGCAGTATTTTTAAAATGGTACATCCACATTTAGTTTTAAAACATTTCGATCAGAGATTGCAGAAACGTCAGCCAAAAGCTTGTTTAGCGCTGCAGTTTTAACCAACAGTACAGGAAAATGTTCCTCGTTTTCCGAAATGTTTTCATATGAATGGTTCATTTCCATATTCTGCTGGCTTCAGCGTGACTTGGAATGGGAGTTTGACTGATATATTGTATACACTTCGTTGGTTGTGCTGAAAATTAACTGAAAATTATTCCTTTTTTGCTTTAAATAATGGTGTGGCATTAATGCACATACTCTCCCACACCCATACATGTACTTGTTTCACATATGAAGTGTGGACGTTCCTTTGTTCTCCTGTGGTTAAACTTGGCAAAAAAGCTCCTCTTTCTCTCACTAGGATTTCCTTTGAGCTAGAGTTTTGGTAATGATTTCCTGGACTGTTCATCTTCATATTGCCACAGATAACCCTGACTTTAATGCCTCTGAAACTTTTTTTCAGAAAGGAAACACTGTGTGAACATGTGCGAGTCCACACAATGCCATCGCACCTTGCATTATGTGGACTTCTTTTGTGCAGAGGTTCACACTATGGATGCCATGCCGCACGCTTGTGTGAACTCATTCACCGTTCAAGCCTTCCTCAAATTTGTTTGAACACTGGTGCATTACATCCACATTTTTCCTATTGCAAAGTTGCAAAAACTCTTGCCAAAATTTGAATTTTCTCTGGTGGAACAGAAAAGAGATTGTTACATGCCATTGTCTAAGAGAGAAGTCCATGTAAAGTACAGTCACCATATTTTCTACTGCTTGGGGGACGGGTTTCATTTTGCCTTTTCAGTTTGTTTAGTTCTTGGCTGTTTTGTGAACTACCCTGGGCAGAAATTTCCATCCAGATTACCTAAGATGTGACACACTCAGTCTTGGTTCCAACACGTTACTATTGATGTAGTTTATAAACTCGCCGCCACCAGAGGGCGTATTATGCACAGCTAAGTGTACTACCCATGAATCGTCAGTAGCAACATCTTGACCATTTCTAAAAATCTCCCCTGAAAAGGGGGAGATTAGTGCACATGTGCTGATTGTATACATGGGAATATGGCCCCCCCTTTTTTTTCCGTACATACTGTACAATAGTCAGGTTAATGGAGTCACATCAATCATGTTGTTTGTGGTGCTGGCAGTCAGGGGATAAGACTTACTGCATACACATTTATTACAGTAATTATGTAGATTTACAGTAGGCATTGCATATGCATGTATTAGGCCGAGACGTTGCAAGTGATAGTTCGAGAGCGATACGGTTGGCCGAGCCAAATAAATAGCAATGTCTTGGAAGCAAGACTACCCACCTGCATCTGGGTCCTTATTCTTGTAAATGCCGAGTCATCACCCCCCCTCCCCCATGTGCTGTACCCTGTAAAATTGTTGTGCATCTTGTTTAGGTTTTTACTTCATTCTTTCTTTTCATTCCTTCTTTAATTGTTGACAGAAATGTTTGAGGAAATATTTCTTTTTTAGAACAGGCAGATCGCAACCATGACTTCACTACCGGTGATGTCATCACCGTGTTCATAATTTTTGTACCATTAGAAATCCTTCACTCCAAGTTGGAATTTTTTTTATATGAACCAAAATGTGCTTTTACGTACACATGCAGCTATGTCACTGAGGAAATGGGACACCAAGGGTAGAATGGAATTTTGTGACAAGAAAACTACAACTGTTTTATCCTGACGGAGAAGTGTACTCTAACAAAAGTCAACATTGGTCTTGGCAAAGAAAATGTTTCCAGGCCAATGGCAATTTGTCTTCAGGCCAGGGTCTTCTGTACAGTATTATAGTTGTCAGGAAAAGTGGAAGTTGAATTTCCTGGAAGATAGTTTGTTCTGAATTTCCAAGGGGAACTAGCAAATTGTTCTTCCATAATTACCATCTTCTGGTGCTGTTGAATGGGTTTACTGAAGCTAACAAACGTGCGGAACAGAAAGTCGTCTAAAGGCATCAGAATATTAATGATTTCCTGGGGAATTGAAACCATCACATTAAATGCTTTAGAGCGCTGGCTCTCTCTTCTCAAAGCAACAACTGTACAGTGGACGTGATTACTGAATCCTGTTAGTGATAGCATTCTTACCATCTGGAGTTTATTTGTTCATTGGTTACCCTGGTTTCAAATGTCTTTGTCAATTTACAGCCACAAAATGTCTATTTTTTAAGACAAATCAACTTATTTCACCAAATGAAACAAACATGCAAACTTTTGTCCCTTTAACAAAGACCTTCCATATGTCTCTGAAGCCTACAAGTAGGTTTATGCCTGCAGGTAGATGCCACAGTTGGTATTTCAAACTGCCCTGTCCTTGACATTATACTTTAATGACAAATCCACATGAGCAGAAATGGCATGTACTGAAGCATAATGAATGCACTGGGGTATGACCACAATTCTATATTTTTGATGGCTCCACCAATAAATTCTAATTTTGTGGCATCAGCAATTTCCCTGGGTGACACTGCTCATATTGCAAAAGCTTCATGTCAACAGGAAGAATGTGTATTTTCTATTTAATAATAAACGAGGCTCAGTTTTTGGTAGAGTGTCAGTTGTGTGCTAACGACACAAATTTTTTTATGAATAGATAATGAAGATGCGTGTACTCAAGCGATGTAATGTGCATCGTCATCTGTCATCCATTGTTGTGAGCTGCCACTTTTGTGACGATGTGTGGTCGCCACATTTTTTACCAGCATGAATAATCCAGGAGGGCTAGCTGTCAGGTGTATCAAAGGCATTATGGTCTTTCTGCCTTCAAACCTTCGAGGCAAACCATGGTTTCATAATGCTAGTACTTGCAATGCATGTGCCCCAGTGGAATAGGTTTTAGTCAGTGATGGTTGATCAACGAGTACAAGTCGTCGAATGACAATTAATCTTGTGTTTCCTGGGTAACATGCTGTTCGTACTCTGATCGCTGTTCACTATTTCATGCCAGGCGACATTACCTGATCTGGCGACACACTTTTTCAGCTGACGGGTAGAATCTCAAGCGCATCTCAACTCACCTCATGCTGACATTTAAACATGCTTACAATCCCTATTTGTTTTGTACACACATAAAGCCCATGAAGTCTATGACAATGAACCGTATGTTGAACTTGAATTTGGCCGTTAACACTCTATGAGGCCTTCTTCGATGGCAAATATCGCCCTGTTGGAGTGCCTCAGAAATACAGAGTGATGGTAAGAAGTATTTTCCAAATGGCCCTTGGGAATCAGCATTTGTTCTGCTTGCCGCTTCATGTATTTATTAAAAGTTGATTATTATTATTCCAAAGTTGAAATTCATAATAATACCATCAGCTAGTGGTCCATATCAAGAAAGTAAATCAATATGCAAACTGAGAGTCTTGGTGCCCTAATAAACTACAGGCAGCCTGGCTATTGGTTACCAGTGATGCATCCAATTTTAGCAGTGCAGCCAAATGAATAAAGAATATCACAGATATGAAATTTTATTGAAAATCAAAACCTTCAAAGTGCATATGTAAGAGCAGGAAAAAATGGAGAATCACTGCTGCCACTTTATGTCCCACCGGCAAGTAATGGCACTAGTCTCCATTCCAGCTGCAGTCTGCCCAGTCACCATCTGTCGACAGCTGTGTGCACTTGTGTACCACTGTAGCTAACCACAGGAGGCAAGAACCAAGACAAACCCAAACAAACAATCTCCACATCCCTGCCTCCCAAGTTGTCACAAGCACAGCTGAGACAAAAAAAAGTCACCTCCAAACTCTGGAGATACATAGTGGGGATTCTAATACATATACGTTTGACATTAACAGCCAACGGTGAAACATACAGGGTGGCTACACATATACTGTATTGTACTCGTATCTCACAAGCTACAAGGAGAACCCCAACGCACAGCACGCATACAAAGCCTTTATTTATTAACCCTTACCTTGCATGTACAATGTAAGTGCTGTTCAGTTGTGTGTTCACCTCTGCACCAGTCTCCTCATAACCTCTGGGAAGCCTCTTGTATCATACTAACAGTTCACTCAAGGCAACATGGGACATGTACCATTGTCACAGTTTTTAGACTAGTGCTTCAGTGGGTTAGTCTGCAACATTTGTGCCCCATGCAGTCGTATAATTAGGTTATTTTTCTTGTTGGAATGGTAATAGGCCAGGCCAGGGCCCCGGTAATAATTGACTGTGTTGATTTTTTTTTCAATGGCCCAATGACAGAGGTCATTGGATTGAGTCTGGGTTATGGAACATACCATTACTGCAGAGGGGTTCCCTTTGACGCTAATGGAGCTTGCAAGTGGCTTATCCCTCCATTGATGTTGTTTTGTGTTTGACTGTTTGTTGGTTGCCTCAGAATTCAGCACTCATTACATTAAAATTACACAGGCTTCAGGCTTGGGAATTTAAAAAACTTTTTTTATAAAAAAAAGTTACATTTTTTTTTATTTAATCAGATTTTTTTATTTAAAGCGGATTTTTTTTATTTTTGTATGAAAACTGAAGACAACTTGGCTCAAGTATCTTTTCAAGAGCAGGCAAAGAAGCTGCAGGTGTATTGTTAATGTTCATTCATTTATCTCCTTTGCTGCAAAATTAAACAAATTTGGATTTGAATTAAGAAATTTAAATCAAGTAATTGACTAAATTCACAAACCACCTTGAATATTGTCTAAACCCAGTGCATGAATGCATGCAGTATAGCACCTACCGACATATGTACCCGCAGCGCAGGGACGACACTTCCTTCAGACATGTACAGTACACGTACAAGGATGAAGTGCATACCAGGTTTTAAACTGAACTCTAAGTTTTGACAAAAACTAGAGTTCCCAAGAATTTGTTAACAGGGTACTTATACGTGCATCAAATAACTAATGAATGAAAACTATGCCAGCAACCATTTGTGCATGTATTTATTTTGCATGCTATATGTACATGTAGGTACAAAAGTCAGATATTTTACCTTAGTTTGCTCACAAATTAGTCTCGTTTTGTTTGTGATCCAGCTCCGTTGTGATTAATACAACTTCGACATCAGAAAAATTGCTTACATTTTGCATGTGGAAAAAAAGGAAATATGTATTTTCATGATGCTCGGTGTTTTTCACATCTTTCAACAAGTTAGCGATATTTTACTATGAATTCTGTGTGCTGCTTTGCTGTTACCCTTCGTTTCTTTAAAGTGCACTTGTGAGAAATAGCTCACGTTAGTTCATTTTTTCAAAATTTTTTAACAAGGCATTCGTTTTGAGGCAGATATTCATGACATTGTTCAGCATGCCAAGGGTTGATGTCAAAGCTGGGTATATGATAGCCTCACCGGATTCTTTAAGGTCTCATATTTCCCCAGTTAAATCATTGGACAGGGCCTTTGTGGCCGGGATTGGAGGGGAAGTCTGCAAGAACAGCAGCCAGGACACCAAATAGAGTGAATCATACTGTAAGGTCGCACTAGGACAGCAGGGGTTGTAATGTAAACTTGCTTTTAATTCGAGAAGCAATGTTAATTTTGTCGGAAGAAGCAAAATTTATGGCAATTAGACCTTCACATGAGCTGCTTCACGTATGCTGCAGCAAGTGCACCACTGATATTGAAAACTCATTCCAAATTCATCTACCGCTTCAAAAAATCAGCATTTTAGTTTGTAGTTGAAGCGGGCCCTTGAGAGAAGCCAAGCACTGTGTCTGTAGTTTCAATAAAAAAGTTAAAAGCTCAAACGTTTAGGCTAACCCCTAAGAAAGGCCCTCCCCCAAATCCCCCTCCCCAAAATGGTTCTGGATCTACCCTTGGAAATTTCATTTGGCTTAGCTCTTCTCTCAGTGGGGAACTTGGGAGGATTTGGGGAGGTCCCTTGTAACGGTGCCAGGGGAGTTCATTTCATTTGGTACAATGTGTACCATCAACCCATTCTAAATTCTCGTTTCCCAGAGGTGGATATTGGACGACAGTGGCTTTCAGCTGAAGTCTTGGGTTCAGAGACCGTCCACTTTTTTCATCATTTTGACAAAGTGTACAAAGAATTCTCTCTTTTTTAAAAATTCTTCTAGCAATTCAAATTTTTATTCTTCTAGAGATTCAAATAGCAAGGAAGGAGAAATTATATCTGTGCGGGGCATTATTGTGTTTGATATTTTTGAAAGCATGCACTACCCCCTAGCCAACCCCTCTCGTCCAGCATAAGGTTCATGTTGGACTACTTGTGAAACTCAGAGTTGTTGTCAAGTACCAAGTTCTCTGCCAGATACTGAACTGGTTAAGAAGGAACAAAGCTGACGTATGTGGGCATTTGATGGAACATACACATAAGTAAGATTACAAAGTAAAATGATGACTTCAGACCATCACTGTTCAATGAAAATTAAGTTTTTATGACAAAAGTACTCAGAAAGTATTCGACCAAGTACTTTCTTCTCTTCTTAAAACTCAGTTTTTACAAATCTGGAAGTGTCTGAAATCTTACATTTAGTTTGCATTCTTATCTTTGTGCATTTACCATCAAGTGCCCATGAACTTCAGCTTTGTTCCTTCCTGACCAGTTCAATATTTGGCAGTTCAGAACTCGGTACCGCAAGTTTGGCCTACAGCACTGGTGAAACTGATGAAAAATGGATGGACCAAGATTGGTCTTACTTCCTGGAAAAGTCAAAACCAACTTCAGTCAAGATTTACTCCCACTCAAGAAAACTGGGCAATTACAGACAGCTTATTCCTGATTTCGGTGTACTGGGTCACACGTGTTATTTCCCGTAAAAATACACAAAACAAAAAATGAATTACTGTTTGATATTTTTCTTTTTTATCACCTAGCATCTTGCTCTGCTGATGGTATGGATGATGAGTTGTCAGAGTGGTTTCAGTCCTCCCCGCCTCTAAACAAGAGACGAAAAGAGCAAAACCTTCAGGGAGAATGTTCATCTTATGTACCAGCAACAGAAGGTAAAAAGCAAAATTTGATTTGGTATGTTCAAGACTCTCTGGATTAAGTTCAAATGCTACTCTAACATTGTGGCTTTATGCGTGATTCACAGCGCACATGTGGTCTTGTAAAGCCCTCCTTCTCCAACAGCTACCCATCTGGACTAACCAACAGAATTCAGTCAAGACTTGTAATTTTTTTAATTCCTGTTCAAATTGCTTCAAATTAACATCAGATCAACTGTGCTGCTTCCTGTTTTCAGTACATTCTAGGAAAGTGCTGGCAAAAATTCTTCTATACAGATCCAAAAAGCACAAATTGTTACCATATTTGTGGTGTTTAGGCAACACTGTTGCGAGTTCACATTTCAAGATGAAGTGCCAGTTTACTTTATGTAGTTAGACAAAAACAATGCAATACCCTGCATCGGTTTTCTATTTCATGTGTTCATCGGGTTTGCTTTTTTTCATTTTTGATTTCTATTTTTATTCAGATGTCCGGACATCTCCAGAGTCAGGAGACCATCCAAAGGGTTCTATCCAAGATAGTTACTTGGCAATGGACGACAGTGATCTGAGCAGTGGGGAACTAGACCTGTATGACTCAGCACCAGACCAATCCCTACCTGTGGAAGACAGTCAAGAAGGATTCAAGGAACAAAACCTTGAATTTGGAGAAGTTGTTGAGCCACCTTCAAAGAGCAAACCACCACACAAGCTGCATGACAATCCAGCCACGTGTAAGTCATCACAAGATGAAGATTATTTGCAAGAGGTGGTAGACTTGAATGAGAAGCGATCACGACAGGAGTCCAAACATGCCGAGATCAATAGCTGGTTGAAGTACCTGCCCGATGCAGACATTGACAAGGAGTCCCAGAAGGCAGTCAGATTGGGAACTGCCACGCCCCCTCCTGTCGAGGAGAAACATCCTCCTGCCGATGTAGGACTGGCTGAAACCGACTGCAGAGTTGATGTGAAACTTCCAGATGGTGTACATCACCTTGAGGCTAAGCACCAAGGCATGACCGAGTTGGATAGCTCCTGGTGTGAGTCAGATGTGACAGAAGAATACAGCATCAAGAACAGCCAAGAGACATCAGTTCCCGTTGCCAACTGGACAGGCACAAGCCAAAACATTCCCCAGTACTTGGAGGATGGTTGTTGCAAACCTACTTGGTTTGATGCTAGAACCGCTGATGCATCTAAACAGCAAGACAAGAGTGATTCCACGGGATTTACAGAGCAAAGAGGCACCCAACAGCATGCTCAGAACACCAACAAATTGCCCGCTGATACTGACGGAAACGTAATTGAGTCCAAATCTCACGGGACAGTCGTGCTGAGCTCCCAGCTTTCGTCCACTGGGTCGGTTGTCCCTCTGGAAAGCAGTGACTCACAGGCCACCCTCGATGAGGCACACTTGGAACTGTCCCAGGGCACCAATCATTCCCAAGACACGTTCCTGCCGAGTTCGCAGGGGTCTGCCGCCTCACGCAGCTCCTCAGATTTTGACATCCCATGTACTCCAGAGGGAAAGGGGGTTCGGCCCGATCGGGTTGAGGCTGTGTGGGTCAGGATAGCAAGAGGGGAATCAGTAGGCGTTGCATCATGTAACAGATCAATCAAACCAGACTGAGAAACTTCAAGTGTTTGAAAACTTCATCCTCAAGGAAACCTTGGTTGGTGAAATTTCAGTGTTGTAGCTAAGTTGTCATAGAGTCCGCAAGCTAGTCACAGCTAATGTACTGTTAAGTCAAAGCCTAATCATAAACTACTCAAATGAACTGTTTTGGGCGCAACCCTGTGTCCTTGTTTATCCCATTTTAATACTTCTGACCTTGCAGACTTGTGGTTGGACGACTTGTGATGGACCAGGAATGGTCTCATCAACTGCAGCTCCAAAACTTTTGGTGGATAAAAAAGGTGAAGCAGATGCTGACACAGATACTGAAAAATATCAGCCTTTTTTATCGTCCAGTTGCAATCTTTAATGTTCAGTACATTGCTGAGAAATTCTAATGAATTCCTCAGTACCTCTGAAGCCCTGTTTGGTGAAAAGTTAATATTATTATATTTTATTTTCAGAGACATAACTTCATAAAATTCAATTTGCTTTAATATTATGTAGCTATATGCCTTCTACATCTTCGGTATTTATGACCAAAATGAAATTGTTTCTGGAGGGGGCATTTCATTTATTGAGTATTTATAGAAAATTTTAAATGAATTAAAATTTTCAAAATTCTGCAGTGTCTTTGTTATACAGAAATCTAGGTCTCGTTAACAACATAAGCGTGCCAACATTCAGTTGATTTATGAACTACTTGAGTCTAGTGCAAACACCATAATCCATTGTACATGTAAATCATTCTCAAATTCAGTTTCAGTTGATCTGTTCAGTGCAATATTAAGTTTCTACTTTAATGGCACAGCTTACAATAATATGCAAATATGACCATGCATCCATGTGCTGTGCCTTTTTTTAGCATTTAATAAGTGAAATGTCAGGTGTTTCCTGGAGGTTTATCTTCTTTTGTTTCATCATAATTATTTGACGGATGGGATTTTTGTGCTTAATTATTACTTCTGGAATTCAGATCAGGAGCTGAAATGCTTAAATTTGTTAAGTTTTTATTTCTTCAAAGTTCAGAGTAAACTTGTTCAATTTTAGAGTCAAAAACTTGACTTTCATTGCTGTGTCAAGTGTTTGGCTGAATTGATTTTGCCAGATCCAAAATCTGACTTAATTCTAAAATACGTTCAGTTGAGGCTACAGTTTCTGACATGGGTATCAGTTAATATGAAAATCACATTCTGTCTGATCTGACATAGATATCAGAAAAAAAATTTCTTTAAAAGGCAGCCGCGGCCGGAAGATGTTTGAACCTTTATGACTTGAATTTGTGTGAAATATTAATGGACAGTTGCTACATTTGTACTTCAAAGAGGATGCATGATCTTAAGATTAATTTGAATTAATTTTTTAAGAACATAAAATATTCAAACTGTAACTAGTATGTTTATGTAAACAAAAAAAATCTGTAAGTAACTTGAGTGGCAGTGTCCACTGGTTTATTGCATGGAAAAAGTGTTTAACCGTGACATTCGGAGAAGTATTTCTTACAAAATATTTGAAGCAACTGACGTGTGGATTTGAATTTCACTGTGAGATTGTATCACTTTAAGGACAAGAACACAAAAAAACAAAGGGTTTGTTTGTGTCGTGTTAAATTAAGACAAGCAAATACAGTGTCTTGAGACCAGAGTTGTCATGAACAGACTTGCGATGGATTTTTGATAGACAGATATTACCTGTTAGGAGTCACGTCGAACTTCAAAACGACACAGGTGCATGTAGATGTCTTTCTGTTGCCTTTATTTTTCTTCTTTGGTTTTATTTGCAGTAAAATTGTTTTACCTGTACACTGGCACTTGCTTTGATGAATTGGTGTGAATTGTGAATTGAATAAAGTGAAAAATCAAAATGTGCCAATTTTGCAGGCTCTGTGTCGATCAAACTACAGCTTTTTATGGTCTCTATAAAATCTACCTTCAAGAAAGAAAATACATACAAAGGATTGCTTTGCTTTTGTGCATCAACAGGCTGTTTATTTCAATTTTTCACGGAAGTCCCTGTAAATGCACATTCTTGGTATCCTTTTACTCCATTTTTCAATTTGCTATGTGTAAGGGAGTTTGGTGTCCTATTTCTTATGCATATGACTTGCATATTCATGAGCAAAAGTGTGATGTCAACATTGGAAGACTTGTCAGTTTTATTAGCACCAGAATTGGCCATAATATTGGATTTTTTATGTCTTTAAATTGAATACCTCATTTAGAGGAAAAGCCCACTATTTTGGCCAAGGAGAGTTAATTGATTTCCTTTGCAACCTCTTCAAAAACTATTGGTTTTTTTTTTAACTCAAGAAAGTTTTTTGGGGGGGAGTTGGGCCCTACTTTCAATTAGGCAGTCAATTGTGTTTTTGAAGGTGATGCTTCAGTTCATGACAAAAGGTCGGTTAACATAGTTGTCTCGACAGTTTTCTCAGATGCTGAGCAAATTTTGGGGTCACAATTTGAACAGAAAACCTGCTTTATAATGAATGTCTTCCTTAAATAACATCACAGAAACAGTGCTTCCATTTGTCAGGAAAAAAAGCTTGGAAATGTTTAAACGTCTTTTAAAAAAATGTACTTTTCAATAAAATTAATCCAAAACTGATACACACTTCAACATTAGAAAGTTTAAAACACACAATGTGTTCCCCTAAGCAAAATCATGCCATGGGCTCTCAATCACTTGGAAAAGAAAAACTTTATTCAAAATGTTGAAAACGGTTTACATTTGACAGCACGACTCTTTCCATAATACCATCCACCAGACTCGTTTGCTTCTCTCTGACATATTTACAGTATTTACAAAACGAGTTTCAAATCATGTTTCCTTTAAAACTATAGTGATGGACAAAAAATGATATAAAACCATTTGTGGCCAAACCAAATGTTGACAGAATACAAAGCAATGACATTTTACTGATGTTGACCTTTCTGAGAAGAAATGCAGAGACCAACTGTTTACAACACTGAATGAATGGAAGCATATCCAATATGGTTTACCATAGCTGACAAAATCTACATGCAAAAAGAAAAACCAACCTGGTTTTAAACTTTGTTTACTATTGAATTTATGCGTTTATGTGTCCTTAGAGGGCAAGAGCTTTGAATGGCTGTGATAGGCTCGAGTTAATCTTCCGTGCATTCACCGTAACTAGATTAAAATAAAACGGCCTCTGAGACACCGTGGAGATGCCAACAACTCATAACCTCCATTGAAAAATGACACCAAGGATGTCAAGTAGGACCTTGCAAAAGTATTACCCAGTTCCTAATGAATACAGTTAGATGTTCCCATTGTACGCATACTGAATGCCACAATGGGCTACGTGCGCGCTCCTTCACTAGCCCCTGGTCTTTTAGCACAAGAAAAGAGCTCCGACTGGCTATTCAGTTTGAATATACATAAATGTAAGTGAATCGCTTGCACATCTCAGAAGCTACACACTCGCACCCACGTGCACGTCACGCACGCAGAAATCTGCGTTGCACGTAACACATCAAATAGTCCTAATTTAAAACTCCCAAATAGTGGGATATTTAAATTACACAACAGCAGGGATTAAGATTGCATAAGGTGTGTTGGAACCAACTTGGCATGGCAAGATCATACCCATGAAAATGAGGTTGTGAATGCCAGTGAGGTATATCAATACTGCTGGAACATTTTGATGGCTGGACACAATTGCAGAGTATCACCAAGTAGTGTCTGTATAAAACACTCACCTGCACTACATCCGGGCAGACAAAAACTCCGTTATATACTGTATCACTAATAGATCGTGTTGGCGTACTCTGTTTATGTGAGTAATTTCCTGTGGTGCTCAGTGGATGATGGGCCCACCACTGGCTCCATAGGGAAGTTCATGCATGAACAAAGTGACGATATCAGCGCACAGGCCCATTCCTACCACCATACAGAAACACGCCGGCACAAGCCATCACCTCGTTCATCGCAACCTCAACATGTCCAGCTCAAAAATGCCCACAGGTTTTATACCAAGACCAAGATCTCTGTTAAAAGTTAAAATGAATGCGTCCCACACAACCTCACTTTCAGTCTCGTGCCAGAATTCTAAGGGTCATGTGATTTTATTTTACCACCAATTCAAATGTCCACATGTGAGCTGAATAGTCAAAGTGATGTCGCAGGCAGAACACATTTTCCTATCATGAGGTTAAATTCCTACTTTCCATTCCAATTTTTTCCTTTCTGTTGATGCATAGCATCACATCTATTTGCTCATTTATCACTAGCTAGTTCATGAACAATGTCAAATTAGATTCACTGTGAACAAAAAAACCAGATGTACATCAAAACACCAAACTGACATTGCCATAAAGCACCCGCGAAAGTCAGGTACAGTTTTATCATGATGGAAAAAAGTGCAAAACCTGAGTCAAAATGAGTGTCCATGTATGTTTTTCTTTTATTAATCTTATTTTTCTTTTATTAATAAGAATATGACTTCTGAAATCTTTACATGTGGAATTTGTCGCGTAGGTCCTTTCGGTTAGAAAAATCCTAAATGTTCATTATCCCTGTAAAACATGAAATGTTAAGTTTTATAGATAAATGTATATAAGGGGCTGCATTATGGTACAGAACAGAAAATTTAAATGAAAAAAAAAAAATTGTCTACAACTACCGGGATATTTTGTTCACATGAAGCCCTGACCTGTTATTCTGAACCACTGTCTCCCGACACGAAGCCTTTTGTTGAGAGGAAGAAACAAAAATATTTCTGAACAAATACTCTTGAATGCAGTCTACTCAAACCATGCATCCTGCATCAGAGAGAGATTATAAAAAATGTGTCTATTTTTGATGTCACTAAGTTTGTACACGAGTGCTACATCCTGTTCCAAGTTGGAGCACTTTGCTATTTCCTGAGGGTATTTAACCCCGTTTGACTTATAGTTTTCAAGTGCTGACTTGAAGCTACAACACGGGATGTAGCATTTTTTACGCCCTGAAAGACACAGCACCCCAGGTGAAACCAAGGGTGCCATGTACTGTTTATTATGCGGTAAACAAGAATCCCATCTCCTTCATCAAAGTTAACAACTGTTTCATTGCATCATGCCAGTAAGTTTAAAAAGATTTAAGTTTGACTATTTCTGCAAGAAATTAAATTGCCATAGCATTAACTTTGACTTGTGTAAGCTTTTCTATTAGACACCAGAGGTTGCATGTTCACAGGGGAGTGTTTTCGCAACCCCCAACCAGAAACATGTTTGTGACGTCAAAGAAATAACCAGGTCCATTTTGGTCCACAAAAATATAGAAGCAAAAACGGTTACGCCTTCCGACAGAGACAAAGTCCAGGGTTGCAGATGACCTTGTTGATAATGTTATTTTCACTCCATATTCAGCATGTTTTTTACCAGTCCTGCTATCTCTTTGCACGATATAGAAGTACGTCTTTTGATCTACTACAAGTAACAACAAATTTTGTGAATGTTAAATTCACTTATCCAAGATGACCCAAACTTGTCTGCTTGTTTCTGCCATTCTGAACTGGCAATAAAACAACTCCAACCTTCGGCTCTCATTTGGTTAGAACTATGACGTCAAACAGGCCCAGCTGAAGTCATGAAAACATCTAACGACCAAAGCTGAAACATGTTTCTGGTTTGGGTCGCCAAGCCAAACCTTTCACGGGGCATGCCCTTAATTTCTGACACACATGTTCCACTTTTGTCGGCTTGAGACAAAAATGAGGTGCAAGATGCCATTTACACGACAGACTACATCAGTGGTTTTCGCAGAAGCTTGACGTGCTGATCATTCTCAACAGAATCAAGAGTATCAAGCCTCAGTATAACACGGCGCTCCAAATGGAAGAACAAACAATATTCAAAGAGTACAGGATATCATTTATGGTAAGAAAGCAGATTATGAAAGTCTGTTAGAAATACAGTTGCATCTTCCTGCCCTCACACAGCTCAAGAGCCCAAAGGAAAAAGATTCATTCCACCCGATAATCCTTCACAGTACACTACAACGACAAGAAGAAAAAAAAAATATTTAAAAGCATTAAAACAGTTTACACAATCTGTCCCCCAGCTACTGCTGCAAAGCCTTGAAATTAGTCAAGGTATTCCGCTACAGAAGCAGATTTTGTGAAATCGGAACAGCCTTGGCTCCATCGGGCCAAGCCAACACCAACTCTCTTCATTTCTTTCCCTCTTCCCACTTGTCTCAGTACGCGCATGTATCCTCAGTCTCTCGAACGGTTCCGCTGTGATCTCCCCAACCTGACCCAAATACATTTAGAAATCCCCTTTGTCACTGTGGGCGACCGACTTGAGTCCTCTGAATACTGTGTACTCAAACCCACGAGCACTGCTTTAACAACTCAATCCAGGATAATACGAGTATCCCTTCCAGCAAACATTACAAACTTTTTTACATTCATAAAAACTCTCTTGGAACATCAAGCCTGTGCTATCATAGAACAAGTGAGGTCAGTTGTTTTGAATAACATGTCATGCCTAAACTGAAAATGATTCACTAGTTCTTTTATTCAATACTCTCTTGGGGGGGGGGTTAGAATAGGAAATCTCTGCAATTTTTGGCACCACATCTGCATCGAATGGGTTGAAGCTTGGAGGCTGACCCTGAAGTGTTGAGCTCACCTGTGAAAATAGGGAAAGCAATATATGAGGTAGTTACTGTTTGATTTTGTCTCTGTAGCGGTAACACAAAGCAAGATTTTCTGAATCAGCGCCACCTGTGTAGCACGCATGTATTTGGCAGCCGGTGGTTTACGCGGCTGCAGCATGTTGGCTGTTGCTCCTCTGCGAGTAGGATTTTCCCAACTTGCAAGTCATTATTCATCAATTCAAAGTACATGTAGCAAATTCGGTAAAAGAGAACCAAAAATTCCAGAGCCAAGAGTTATGTTCGTCATATCCGATTGTTCAGTGCATAGCAGCATTAGACTGTGTTACTCCAACCTTGCGACATGTCAGGACAGGTTCACACATGGAAACGTTCCTTTTTACCAATGCAGGATTTCCTCTACAACTGACACCCCCCCACCTACGACCGACGCTCTCGATAGTGGGGGTTGGGGGAAAAATGACAGCGAGGGACAATTTACCTGTCATCTGGTAGTCAAAGCTAAGCTCCTCTCCTTCCTTGATGTCCCTGCTGGCAAACAGCGCTATCCTGGGTAGTCTTGGGTCCAGGGTGTTGACCCAGACTCCGTACACAACCAGGTTGGGATCACACTGGGCAGGGAGAAGTTCAACACAACGGTAAATAGAAGGACAGGGGTGCGGGGGGGGGAAGAACAGCGTGAAATGAGGATAAACAGCAGTGAGGTTGTGCAACATTTCATGGAACATGTTGGCAATCACTGCAGGTGCTTTTCATCCTACTAATGAGCTTTTTCAGATGATCAGCCACGGAGACTACTCAATGGGGGCCAACAAAAAAGAAATCTAAACGCAATTGTTCATTTTCATTAGTAGTGCATATCCTTCTTGGTGTCATTTACTGGGATTTTACGAGTTAAGCTCTGTTTGTAACAAGTGTCTTTTTATGAGCAATCAAAATGATTTCAACTCTGTGGTACATTTTTTCACTTTGTATGTTATCAATAAACCAATCAATCAAGAAATATCTGGTTGACAAGGAAGGAAATGGTACAGGGCAGTAAAAAGAACGAGAATATGCAGTGCTGCCTCATTTTTGTGGGTTTTGATTTGTGCCTTACGAAAAATATACTGATGAACAATACTGTCAAACAAAACATGGTTGGGTTAAAAAAAACTCTGGACATCCCCCAAGATTGCACTGTGTTTGAGGCACCAAATTTGATGACAAACATTTTGGCAACAAGTAACTGTTGACTTTTCACAGATATTTTTCAGCATGGCATACAGTATAACCAGAACTGGTTTCCTCAAGGTCAATTGGCTGGAGGGGTCTTTGGAAGAATCTCATCAGAACTTGTACTCTGCAGTGCAGAAATGAGCAGACTTATCCAGCTTGGGAAAACGCAAGGGTTCACAGCCGAATCCTGCCGTCACAGGTGACAGAAACCCATCATTTAAAATACCGTCAAATACTTTCTGTTTTGGTCATTCTGTTCACCTCATCCAAAGCATGCAACATCCCCAACATGGCCTCCTCCACTTACTTACCGAATGGTTGACAAAGTGGGAGACGTTGCCATAGCGACCTGCATCCACGGTGAAGGGGCAATCTCCATCATTGTAGTCCAAGTCAAACAGGTAGGTCCGGCCATTGGCGTCATAGATCTGACCTCGTCTCTCAGCTTCTTCATTGGTTATAACCTGATGGTGAAGAAAATGACAAGGGAAAACAAGGTTACATTCAAGTGATGGAGAACAGGTGTCAATCCAATTAGTTTCAAGTATGGAGACCTAATTGAACTGTTAAAGGTAAGGATTATGAAATCAATGATATTAATTTGGCTTTCTGTCAGGGACACCTGAGCATATTTGTAATTTCTTTGCAACTCTCGGACTGCAATGAGAATACAATATGAATACATGTCCATGTCTACACCTCGGTGGAACGGTAAAAAAGGCAGAAGAACAACTCTTAGCCATGCTGGATTTTCGACTGTATTTGTGTCTACTGTGGCACTGGACAGGAAAGAAAGCAGTATTATCAAATCTTTTTCAGAGAAAACACATGGGGAAGAGTTGTTATGCCACACAGATGCCTACAGCACTGAATTTCAAAGTTACAGGCAATGTTAAAACGGCAGATGCTACAGCAGGGCTCCACTATTGCAAGCCTGTCTTGCACCATGTGCATGCACCCACCTCTCCGACATACTCCATGACAAATGCATTTTTCTTGATGGATTTGAGCGTCTTGACTCCCCAACCACACCCGTTGGATGTCCTAAAGATGGCGACATCAACCTGCCTGCCGTACTGCACGACGCGGTTCGGGCACTTGGGACCGCATTTGCACCTGATGTTGCACTCGTAGACAGGCTTGCCGGGCGGCACCTTGATGCGACCAAACTTGCTGTAGGCAAAGGGCGCCCCGCTCTTCTGCGCGCAGCAGTTGGACTCGCTGCTGCAGTCCTCGCAATCGCAACCGACCAAGGGGTCAGTGGGGATGACTATGCCCGGCCCCGGCTTATAGTCATTGATATAGGTGAAGTCTTTGGGCGGGCCCTCCAGGTCCACGCGGTTCTCCACGAGAATGACGGCGTTGTCCGTGCACACCTTGTTCAGCTGGGCCCGCCACCTCCTCAGGGCACGCTGCACGTTCCTGCGCTGGTTGGACAGGTCCACCGGCGAGATGGCCCTCTCCAGGCCCACGGTCTTGGGCTTCTTGTTGGGCACAGAGTGGATGGCCTCACCTGAGAGCTCTCGCTTACGTTTGAACTCCTGCCGGTTCAGCTTCTCCCGCTTCTCTTGCTTGTGGAACTTCCTGATGATTTTCCTGCAGTTGCCCAAGTTACTCAGTGGTTCCCATGTGTTCTCACTCGACGGGTAGCCCAGCCACTTCACAAAGTACCACGACACACCCTGCCAAATTTAATATTCAGTAGAGAATTTCAAGAGCATTTCAACTTGATTTGATAAGTCAACAAGGGAATTCAACTAATTCATACACTAATCAATTCGTCAACAAAGATCAAAATATACGCGTATTAGTCTCAAGATTAAGAAACTCCTTACCATACCTGTGACAAGGCATCCACAGAGTGGATTATCACAGCACACACAAATACTTGTTCCATAGTTGTGGCAACTACACAACTGTTGAATTATTATCACAGGGACACAATATCAAGTCCATCCACAGTCCAGTCTAGAATTTCCTAAGAGAAATCTGTCTCCTCAGTGTGGTGCTGGCCAGGGCACACAAACACAAAGACAAATTACATACAGTACATTTCCACATTTGCAGTCTTCGACCTGCGCCCCACGCTCCATCATTTAACTGAACGCAAGTAAGGTTTACCTGTGCAAAATTGAGGCGTGTGTAATGAGGTAATTCAAAATGACCGTGTAACATTGTCGTGGAAAGGTTTTGCAAGTGGACACGTTCTCCCCAAGAAGGACAGGGTGTTGGCTGTTTGATACATGAATATCACTGACAAAAAATAAAAAGACAATACACAGGTTTGGAAGTTTATTCAACAATCATGATATTTTTATAGGAATTTTCAATCTGAAAATGCAACCACTGATGCATAAATAGTTTTGCATGCCAATGTAAATGTACGTATACAACAGCAACTGCATTCAAAATCAAGGGCATTCAGTTACTGCTCCCGTGCAAGATGGCTATGTACAATATCACACAGCTCAGATTACAGAGGAACTTACGTCGTCATCCTTGGTAAATTCTTGAATTCTCTCAACCTCGTACTCCTTTGGGGGGACTTCTGGCTTTGTACCTACACGACAGAGAAAAAATGTGATACCAACATTGGACATGCAGCTAAGGAGCTATCAGTTGGCAGGGGTTTAGATAATTTTCTTCGAGCCATGAGTACAATAACCACTTCGTTGCTTAGAGGAGTAGAGAGCAGTACTCTTTTGCCCTCAGTATTGTTTTGTATCGTACTCTTCTTCATGAGAGGGAGAGTACTGCACTCCCTAATAGGTGTAGGAACCAAGTACCCATATTATGGGAGTTAGTCCTTTTGCCGTAGTAAATATAAAAATACTTATTTTTCTTGAAAAACACAGTAAAACAGCCAGTGTTTGGTGATAACCATGAACTCATGACACCATAGACAAAAATCACGTAAGTCCATATCGGCCCACATATGGCGGCACATGTAAGGCTTCCGCACGCCGACGCTATGTTGAGCGGCCACAGTGCGCACATGCCCGGCGGTGGCCATTCCGAAAATCACGGTGACACATCATCGCTTGGTGGTCAAATGCGCTCACACTCACGATATAAATCTGCACAAGCTCATTAATATTTTGTGACCCCACAGAGTTTTTACAATAAGACATGCCCATGCCCATCGTCCTATCCATCTCATACACCGCCCCTTCCCCATCATCCTACCCATCTCCTACTCTTCCCCCTCCCCATCATCCTATCCATCTCCTACTTTTCCCCCTCCCCATCATACCCTTCACTTCTTACTCTGGCTGTCCCATCATCCCTCTAATCCAGCCCAACCATTATGCCAACCTCATCCAGCATTTCATCCACTTTCTACATATGTGTACCTTGTCCCCATGATCCTCCAACAGGTACCCCTCCCCCAACAAACATCCTAATCTGTCACTTGGGGCCCCCCAATCCCTTACAATTTTCCCACATACTGTACATGTACGTTTGTATGTGTCTAAACACTGTCTAAACACACATTACAGGAGTGACTCAGTACATACATGTATGTATGTACATACATGTATGTATGTACTCCAGGGTTAGTACACAATACAACTCAAACCGTTAACATTCAACTTTTATCATTTTTTCATCGAATTCATAAGTTTCCGAGCATTAATGCCATATAAGACTATTTACACACTGATGGAATTCCAAGAGGAAGCAAACAAGCACTTACAGGCACATTTTAACACTTATGGAAATGCAAGCAAAAACTTTAACATTTGAGGACAGCCGCCTTGACGGATGAATGGACGGCCCGACGGATACCCCTACGCACCGTCAGATGGACGGAAGACGGAAATTGGTATTACATACATGTAGGCTCGTATTTGTTTCGCAGCTCGCCAAAAATTAAGCTCATTTGACAAGGAGTGCCCTGTGCGACAAGCAAAATACAGCCCTCTAATAGATAGAAAAAATTTATAAAAGGATTTTCATAGAATGGAAGAACTACCACCTTCTTGTAGCACACAGTAACACGTATGAAGGCAAGTTGAGCTGAATTTTCATGTCATAGTTTCCATTTATCATGTTAATACCAGCTGTGTGAAGTTGCACAGGGCACAAAATGGCAAAGGAACAAGCATGTTCCAACAAAGTTAACCCGCCTATTACACATTACCTTATCTGAAAGTGTTAAGACAGCACCCAGGTGCATGTACAGAAATAAACAAATCTGCCAGGTCCTTGTGCAAAAGGAACACCACTTTGAGCTTTGATGTCAATACTTCCCATAATGCACCACAAAAACCAACTGCTTTTCTGTGGTAGCATGTACATGTTAACTACTCCTAATGGAAATGCCTAGTGTAACTCACGGGTAAGAGTCGGAAGTCATTGTGGTAGCTGGGTATGATCTTGAGGGTGACATTTCCCGATGCTGTCTTCATGTGCTCCTGGAGGGCATCCGGGTCATTGGTCACATCGATGCCGTTCACTTCCTTGATGATGTCGCCCACATGGAGAAGACCTGCCAAAGCAATGTACACGCATGCAAAAGGGAAGGTATTCATCAGGTGGCATTGTTACGACTGATTTGCATCAAACAATAAACCATACTTATATTAAAATCGCATATCATTACTCTGTCCTGGAATCAACAGCTGTTGAGTTTGAACAGATCTATGTTTTGAGCCTGATTTTCAATCAATTGATTAACCGTGTTTGACAGCATCTGGTAAGTTCGTCCATAACTGAGCAGAGACTGATTGAAAAGACCAGGGTCCACAGTATTTAGTCTTACCAGGAAGAAAGGAGTTGACAAAGATTTATGGGTGTAACATAAGTTTCTAACTTTCTAACAATTAAAGACTCTGAATGCCTGATTAATGAGACGGCAAAGAGAGAGAAACATGCAGGCAACTCACATGACGGGTGAGTAAGCATCAAATAATGCACATGTAGGTGTCCCTTGACACAGTTTTAGACACTTTAAATCTGGGTTTAGAGTAATATGAACCTGTCAACATTCCCACAGCTTCCCACAGTGGACTGCTTTAATTCAAAAATGCCACTAGTAGCACAGAATGAGTAAATAAGTTGAGCATTTTTGAGGGCTTGAACACATGGGCGAAAAATATCTTCACTGTGTATGATTTGTTTCAAGGCGAGTTACAGTTGGTGACATTAAAGGCAACCTTTTACAAACAATTTGTCCTCAACGTCACACTGTTGACAATGAAGGCTCGGTGCTGATGAAACTTTACGAAAATGAAACAAACATTTCTATTGCTGTTCTGTCAGAGGGCAGGCTAGTAAAGGATTTTCACGCACAGAAAGCAACTACTCTTTTACATGAGTTATCCTAAAGAAACCCTGGCATAAATGTACTCACCCTGTTTTTCAATGATACCTCCATGTATTACTCTGGCCACAACTATTTCACCCTCTTCCTGTCGTAATGTAATCCCCTGTACAACACGGAAATGGCCCTTGTAAGGACAGTGCAGAATTGACAAACCTCACAAAAGTTCTAATGGGAAGCACACAGTGAATGGGTAAAAAGTTTCTTTAAAATGGTCAAGCCCAGCATTGAATCACATTTGTTTTTCTTCCATCAAACCTTGGTGGAAATCGACTCAAACTTCAACCATCCCTGATCTTACAAAATCAAAACATTACGTAGATCAAGGGTTTGGAAGATTTGGATGGACTGAGAACGTCAGCTCTAGACCTCTGTATACATATATAAGTACCCGTAGCCACTGTTATCAATGAAACTTGACAGCTCCTGAGAGCTGACGTGCAAAGAATGTGCCACCTGGTCCCAACACAGTGGAGGATTTTGGAAATTTCTAGCAAACATAAACAGGGAGTTAGGGTAAATGGAATAACAACATAGGACTTCAGCAAGAAGAGCAAAACAGGTACAAGGTTATGCATAGCACCAGTAGAGATTTTGAGAACAAATAAGGGCTTAGAATGGGATAGGAAAAATATCAATGAAAACAACGAAAACGTCAATGTAAAGATAAATGATAAACATTTGTTTTTTACAAATACATATATCCATACATGTACAAATACTTACATGTACATGTAAGCAACTGGAAATTGCTTGTGTTCTGTATATTCTGTTGCAACAGAATAAAATTAGCATTTCCCAAAATAAAGACTGTCTCTTGTTTCAGTGAACTCTGCACAAACTGTACTCTACCCCATGAATCTCACAGGGATTTATCCTTCTCGCTGCTTCTGTGTGCAGATGGCCAATTGGCACATTGTTTGTTTTCCTTGAGTCAATTTAGAATGAAGAAAAATAAACTGAAGCGTAATGATACTTGCCAGTGGCACATTTGACGGTTTCCTGATGCCAACCATTCTGATGGCATCCCCAACAGCATTGAATTCATGCGGTGGTGGGTACGCTGGCCGGGTGCGATCCAGGAATACGGACGGCTGCTCAAAGTCACCATTGGCGATGCTGTCGTGGGTTTTGGTCAGTGACTGGAACGGAACACAAAAACAAACAGGCCAGATGGGCTTACTGACCAAACTATACCCTGCAGACAGTCTCCCAGTGATAAGAATTTCTCCACAACTACTTGTAAGGCAAGTAGTTTTTATAAGTTGGTGCTCAGTCTTTTAAAGACAAATTTTAGAGGACAACGGGAAAAAAAGGATTTTCTACGGTCTCAAGAAAAACAAATAAGGGTCTTCGAGTCTGAGAGAAAAATACCCCAAAAGATTTTTCCAAAAAAAACAGGGGAAGAAAAAGAAGTATCCCTTACCACTCGCGCTAGCCGCCAAGGACCAAAGCTCACAAAATTGATATCGGTGACTTTGCCCTCGATCAGACAGCAGAGACAAAAAAATTTTTTTTACATTCACATGTATATTGGTACATTGTGTGTTGGCGAATCCGAGACTTCTCAAAATAAATTTTTTTTTTCCCAGTTCTGAATCTGGAAGGTCGGCATACCTGAGCACCAAAACACAAACAACTCTTGCCTAACGTACTGTACATGCACCAGTACATATGAAGCATGCCCTGGATCTTGGTCATGAGATTAATATTTGACGAGCCCATTTGCAGTGATGGCTTTTGGAACTGAAAGTACACAACAGGAAAAACGTGTGAAAATACAATGTCTCATTCTCTTCTGTCTCTCAACTCAGCAACCAAACTTTTTCTTACTATTTCTTCTTGGATGCGAACCATTTTGACAAATCTGGATCCCCTGATGCCCAGAACAAAATCGGGCAACAGGTTACTACTTCCTGTCAGCAGCCAAATTCATTGGGTTACCAATTTTTCTAAAATCAGGTACAAAAAGGGTACAACAAACCAACTTGGATGATAATAATGGGCACCATTCACTCTGCCTATTGTTGTTGCCATCTGTCAATGAAAATTCTGTCAGTCGAGCTCTGTTGCCCAATATGCACTTTCCCAAGATAATGCTACATGTACATGATCAAAGTACCCATGACCCATTGACAGAATGTAACGTACGTGTACATGTAATAAAATTTCTCAATGTTGGTAACAGTATTCATTCACACTAATAACATCAGTATATATATATATCCTGATATCAGTATTCGTTTAACCTGATCAATTTGTGAGAAAAATTGCCACTAAATAGCTTCCAGTTCCCATTGTGGTGGCTATTTGAGACTACATCATGCCAATATATCTCATATCCTTCTTCCCCAAGCCCAGCAACCAAACCTTTTCTTGCTATTTCTTCTTAGATGAGAAATATTTTGATCTTTTCTATAGGTCTGCTGAATTCATTTGATGGCTCTTGATTACCAAGTGTTCCTTTCAACAGTCTGTAAATATCCTTCAAATTTGAATAAGGAGACCTTGGGTCTCAGAATGTGCCTCTGTAACAGCTCTCTGTGAATATTCTTCCATAGAATTACCACTTTACGATACGTCTCACGCCGTTTTAAAAGTGTAATTCAGATCACAGAATCAGTTTATGGGTGTTAGGTTCCATCCAAGCAAACTTGTCATTTTGTTGTTTTTCTGGAGGGAGAGAAAGCTCTCGTGTAACATGATTTTCATTTAGAACGTCAGTAAAATACAAACCCCACGGACCCTTTTTCCACCCCTTGGCCAGACATGTGGGATGAATAGAATTAGACCACCTCAAGAGAGGTGTTTGTAAATGTATGGTAAAATAATTCCAACCACAAGAACTGAATTATTGGTTCTCAGCAAACTTCCCAGTGGAGATGGATATTCTGCTTGTTGCCCCTAGCAACAGCACAATCAAGATTCATTTCAAAATGGCCTGTTCCGACACGTAGTATCTCTCATCAGCTTCACATGTATAGCTTTAGAGTTTAGAGATGACCAGTGCACTATAGTAGGTCACTTCCACATGCTGCCCACAATGCAATTAGCAGGTCAGCAAACGCCACATGAAATAGTAAAAGTTTTGCCTCCTGTTGAAAAAAAAATCCATCAACAGTTGTAATAAAAACAGTTGTTCAATGAACTCTCCTTACAGAAAAGTTGGGGTCGTCCAAAATCCCTGCTAGCTCTGCAGCATTGTCATCATCTGTAATGAATGGACTGATGTCCTCAATGACGTCATGGATGAGCGACACTCCGTCCTTCCGTATTGGTCTCAGCTCAATCTCCTCTAGGGCATCATGGGCCTGACGAGGAACAACAGATACATAGAATGATAATGGGAATGATAAACCCACAAATTTCTCACAGCCAAGGGGCAGATCTCCCTAAGCTTCACTGTGCAGTCATGAGGAGAATCTATACCTCGGGTGTATGTACCATGTACATGTTCCAAGTTTTAGCTCAATCATGTAGAGTGTTTGCTATCTGTCATTAACTCCAATCCTCCAAGATCCTTCACAATCCACCGATAGGTTTTGGAAGATTATGACGCATTTACAGGTGGAGAATGAACAGGGCAAGTAATATTACTTCAAATGGTGTTTAGTGCCCTTTGGAAAGTCCAACCTCGAAGATTGCACCATTGGTTTTATACACGAGGTTGGCTCTGGAAGATACAGCACATCTTCTGGCAAAGGCATATGTACACATACATGTACACGTACATACAGCACAGCTCCTGTCAAAAGATGGCGAAGCGTTTCAGCCGCAAACTAATTAAGGCTTTAACAGCTAGAAAAAAATGTGAAAGATTCAGTTCGGCCTTTGGGTCAAAGATCATCCGCAGAAACTAGGGTGAAATGATTTGTCACCTTAAAAGCAAAAGTGACAGCAAGCAAAATTTGTCGAGAAAGAGGACACCCGCACGACAAGGAAGTAGCTCTATTCTGAATCTGTTTGTGTGCACACACATTTATTTCAACATTGCCTTAAAAAGACACATAGGTAGTACATCGCTGTACTTAAAGACAAAAATACACATTATTAGACTCAAAAGGCATTTAAACAGTTAAAATATTACATGGAATAATTAATATTAACAGTTGCGCACAAAAACAGAGGGCAACATCTAGGGAAGTGGGTGAAGCTAAAAGCTATTGTACCCCGACCTGGCACTGACAAGGACTAGACAAACATTAAATATAAAGGAATGAGACAAGACTTGACTAATACAAAATCTGCTTTACATTCCCTGCCATGCTTCGCTACATGTACATGTACCTATACATTTCAACATGGAAACAACATCCCTCTTGCCCACTCAGAATCCACTCACCTTTCACAAAGTTTATAAATACATTTTTTTTTCTCATTCAGACGGAACGATGTATAATTACACAGTAACTCTGCATTGGGCATCCATGCCAGTCATAAAATATTTGATGTTTAACACATCACATGTATGAATCGTGTACATTTGTTTTCAATGCATAATGTATGGTGTACAAAGCTGTTAATAATGCCGTGGTTACGGAAGGTATCATTAACATACTCAAAGCAGGGTCACATCATAAATGTACATCATACATGTATATTCCATGGTTATGATGAATAAGTACATAAGTACATAAGTACACGTACATGTAACGAATACACTGCTTTCTCTTTCTCACCGTGCAGTTTAAACTATATTTCCAATGCGCATTTTATCAACTCAAAGTACACCCAGAGGTTATGCACACAGAATGGACCCATCTGCAGCTGTCTAAAAGCTAAACGATCAAATTATATGAAGTGATGAAATTAGCACTTGGTTGAAAGAAAGCGATAGCACTAACTCCTGTTAAGTTATGTTATCTGCAATGTCACCAGGTTAAAAAAAACCAAGCAAAAAAAAAGATGCAAAATTATATTGTTGAATTCGGTCTCGCACATTGCACTTGTAGGTAAAATACCGTATCATTGTGTTTGAACAGCAGAACGAATTTGTGTTTTGGGCACCAAAGAGCAAATTACCTTGACAAGATTTTGCAGGACTCGTCCCTGCATTACCTCCTTGAGGAAAAGTAGATCAACGCTCTCTGCCTGGGCTGAGTTCCCAATGTCGTGAAGATTGCCGACAACAGTATCCATGGCTTCTGCCAAATGAAAACACAAACCCGAGACCACTTGTGCATGTTAAACAGGTTCACAAAGGCACAAAACTTTGAAGCCGTTGAGAATTCATTACTTTTGTTTCACAAAAAGTTAACCTCTGACCCCAAACCTGCTTCATATTGTCTTCCTTAACAAGGAAACGATTTGTATTTTTCCCTATGGAATTTCTCGAAGGCATTCATCAACATGTACTTGAACTACAATATACATTTTTGGATACATGTTTACCCTGTTTGTGCTTCGACTGCATGCATCATCTTGACAAATGTATGATTCTGAAAAGTCATTCCTACAGCGACACCATAGGCTTATTACCGGACTCTGTGGTCAAACACAAGGCTGCTCTCTTTCATCTCTGATGTCCATGTACTGGTAGTTCAGTACATGTACATGTATATCATTCAGTACTGTGCCCCAATTCCATGTTATCCTCCAGAGCTCTCCAGAGGAACATGGTGCATCTATCACTCAGCACTTGCTCTTGTACTGGTAGCATTCAAGACAGGCTGACTATCAGACAAACTCCCCAGGTAATGTATACATGCATGTACATGTATTTTCCATACTTCAGGAATAACAACGAAAAGACACACGGACATGACCATTCCCAAAGAGCCACTACGGCCAGGTGTGCACATTCTGTACAATATACATAATTTACATGTAGTTTATAAAACAAGTGTACAGTACATGACATATGAACCGTACTGTACATGTACAGTTAAACAGTTACATGTACCTGGTAAGTCCAACATTATTCATACCCATTCCAAATTACGGTACATGTCGAGAATTTACAACCAAAAGACCATCTATAGAACTGACAACCAAAAGCTTCTCTCAGATGAACTTTTGCAAAGGAAATAAACATGTACTTGAATATACTAGTTTTTATGTGCCTGGGTTGACCATCAGTCCAGTTCAATTGTTTTAAGACAACAGCAAACTGTCGCATTTTCCGAAGTGTACATGAACATGTATGAATAATTTTGGGCTCAACTGTACTGTATGTATTCAACAATAGTGGAAAGCTATGTACATCAACAACAAGTGGCATTGATCAGTGTCCATGATAAATTGCATTACCTTGTTCTTGTATCAACACCTACATGTAAAAGACACTCCGACATACTTTATAGAAATCAATACTATGATTGATTTTTTACATTAAAAGAAATTTGTAAAAAAAAAAACGTAAAACATCAAACATACAAGAAATTTGTACATGTGCAAGCATGATTTTACAGACGAGTACAAAATTCATCAGTTTTTTAAATGTGTCCCTGAAAAGCAAGAACATCTACCGCACCTTACATGGCAAAGATAATACGCACATGTACAGAGTACATGGAAGCTCACTGTACTCAGACACGCATCATCAAAGGTCTTGAGTTCTACACAGGGCCATGCATGCCAGTCAGTGAGATGGTGGTCCAATTAGGAAAATTATAGTTGAATTTAAGGAATGCTTGACTACATGAGGTACATGTCCCCCCCCCCACATGTACAAGTACATGTATACTTTTATGCATGTACTTGCAGCATTCCATGCAAGCCTCTGACCCTATCATTACTAACTAAGGAGGTTGATTTACTCAATGCAACATCTGGCTGACAGTTTTAAAGGGGACACTAAAGCTTCACTTATACTCAGGGAATAATATCAACTAGATCTGCAATTTCACAACGTTTTCAACTGATTAATCATTCCCTTGTTGACTGCAGTTTTGATTCATCAAATGGTCACTTCTTACTTTTCGTTCTGGTGTCCTTGTTCTGATGAATGGTTTAATAAACAATAATAGAGAACTGTGTTGTAGCCGAGACCGCTTAAGACACTCACCAGCACAAGACCTCCAGCATGTCCAGTCTGAATTCAAACAGGCTATTCAAATGAACTGCAACAAAAGTATTCCTAAGTCATTGCGCACCCTGTTACTTATGCATGGTCTTGTGTCTGGTCTTGTGACTGTCTCAACTCCAATTCTGATAAAGAAGCAGGTGGTTACCTGTCTGTCAGGAGCTGAGGAAATCTTAAGGAAATACCATTTGTGATATCACACCTTTGCAATGCACACACGTACAGGCATCATCCAAATACATGCATGTAATGTTCCTTTCAGCTAATTAGGACCACTTCTGTGTTCATTCCACAATTTCTTTGAGAGTTTCATGTGCAGAGTATGTCTTCCCTCTTGCACCTCAGGAGGGGAGGCTTTGTTTTCACAATGTGATTTAATCAATCATACAAAATTTCAGCAAATAAATATACATGTAACTGACATTATTGATTCATTAACAGAGCAACCAAGGAACACTGCTAACCAGGTCTACCGGTAGGACCGTTGCTGTTGGGAAAACTCAGATGAAAACTGAAAATATATTCATAGTCTGCTCTCTGCAAAGCTTTTTCTCAAACTTCATTATAATTTAAAGCTGAGGTGCCCAGCACTCTTTGAGGAATCCTTCTTTTACAACATACATGTACATGCATACACAACAGTGCTGTACTGTTAAGTTTTCCCATTAGGGCAATAATCCTAATCACAGAAACTGATCTTGTTGGGCAGTGATGCTGGAAAACAACCAATGTATTTCATGTATGATTTCACAAATCCACATTATACCCAAAAGGAGAGGTTGAAAAGGTGTTAATCTGTGATTACTACAGTGTATGTAACTCAATTCATCATTCAGGGTGTCTTTAACCCTAACCCCCTAGGGTGTACGTGTATGTAAAACCATATTGAAATTGGAGGATTTGGGACTGTTAGGGTTAATTTAGTTATTATTTAAAGGCATATCTACACATGTACCGGTACATGTACATGTGTAAGTTTCAGCTTACAGAATGTGCCTCCACATTTGTGCCATCAATTGCATACTTACATGTACATGTACAGGTACTTTTGTATACACATCTACATGTAGTTACTTCTTAAGTAGAATGGAAATAAAAGTGAACTGAACTGAACTTGATTGTTGCAAAGTCCACATTTCAAAAGAAATCTCTATGACTGGGGCAAAGGAAAAACGGCACTGGAGTTTGACTACAGCGCTACATGATGCAACTTACTTGCGACAGAGTGGGACACATTGTCAAAACCCTTCCAAAACACTGACCGACATACCTGTATACCGTATACGTGTAGGTCAGTCTGTTACTCATAGAATTGTACTTCTGTACTTGTGGCAGACCCAGCACAAGTTTATGAGGGGGGAGGGGCATCCACCATTACAAAAGAGAAGGGGGTATCCCAAGTGGTGTAAATAAGAATACAAATGAGGCAAATGTTTCATGGTATCCGTAATTTTTGTATTGAAGTTATTAATTTATGGCGCCACTTGAGAACAAAAGGAGGGAAAAATCTAGATGTGGTGAATGGATGTGAAGTGTGGTACATGTATTCACTGAAAGATTTGAGTCGGGAAAGCAGTCCAGAAACGAATCAGGGACAAACACCTGCTACCGGTACATGAACATGTACAGTGTACATTAGTCACAATCATGCACCATGCATTCTGTGAAAGGAGCTCTACACTTACCCGCTAGATAATGCAATTGATTGTGCTGAGGGAAAGGTCTGTTGAAAAACAACATGTACATGTACGATGTACCCAGCAAAAGGACGCTCTCCTCGAGCAGTTTCTGAGGATGATATGAAATCGATGCTGCCGTGCACGTTTATATAGAAAGTGTTGATGATAAGGCTGTCACTTTCGGTGTAGTAATGAAAAATGTAGTGGCGCTAAACGGATTGATCACTGTCTGCCTGGCCTGGCTGTCGTCACCATTCCTTGAAATGAGTTGGTGTACATGTACATGTATGTGAAAATATTACAAGGTCCTCACTCTTATAACTGTTACTGGAAGAATTCTGAAGCGCAGTGCGACTAAAGAAAATGTCATACACCAAGCCCCAGGTGTAGTAATGATAAGCATTTCAAGAATAAACTAATGCGAGCCAGGGGCCAATTTGACAGAGCGCCTGGGTAAAAGATGCTGCTGAGCAAATGAATGCATTGGTGGAAAAAGTGGGATTTTGTTGGGTTTGGGACGGAGAACGGCAACAAAATGCAATTGTGAGCTTTGCCCCTGGCTGGGCTGGGTCATCTCACCTGGGATAGCCTGCTCACCTTGGCTGGAACCATCTCTGGCGACAGGCATGCTGGAAGTATAGGATAGAAGAACTTACGGCCAAAGAGTTTGAATGATGACCGGATCAGAGCCTTAGTACAATTACAGTACCCTGTACATGGACCTGTGAAAAGAAGGCACAGTAAAACAAAATGAGTACTGCATGAAAAAAGCGGACTTACAAACACAGATGTCTGGATGTTAAACGGTTCATGCACAATGTATATATCATACATGTACAGTACATGTGCATCTACTGCACAGAGGAAACCCCGTTCATCCTTCATACATGTACAGTAGTTTGTAAACAATGCTCCTGAAGGTGAACCCGACAAAATCTTCCATTGTGCAGGAATAAACCCACATGGTGCATTTTGTGCACAAGCGTGGCATACATACATACATGTGCATGTACAGTAGTGTGGACCTCTGCAAGACAGAAGTCCCCAAAAAGAACATTAGGTTTACAAGACCTTGTGCGGACTCGCACACATCCACGCAGTGTTTTCCCCCCCTCTAAAAAAAAAAAAAACCAGCTTCAGAGGCATTTTGGGGACAACGTTATCAGGGCAAAATGAAGAGGAACAGTCCAAGAAATCATCATCAAACATCTAGCTCGAAGGAGTTATCCCAGTGGGAGAAAAGAGTACATTTATATTTTCCCCAAGCTTTCTGAACCACAAGAGAAGAAAGGAATGTCCACACTACACGTATGTTTTGTGAAACAAGTTTGTGTGTGTCTGTGTGGTACATTATTATTATTATCATTATTATATATATTTCTGATAATGACACCAAGGATTCCTCAAAAGTGCCCATGGTACTGTAGCTCCCAAGCCAGAAGAAATCTGTAGAGAGGGGACAGCGAGATGCAGTTACAGTTTTAGAGGTGGGAGGAAAACCCCAGAGGAGTATTCTTGGTAAAACCCACAGAATCAGGTAGGGACTGAAAACCCAATCCACGTGTGGACCGCGCCAGGATTCGAACCCAGGCCGCAGAGGTGGAAGGCTAGGAAAGAACCACTACACCAACCTGTACATGCACACCAGTACTTCAAGTTCCCACATAAATTAATAGTTCCACCATGTACACATGTGCAACATTTCCTACAAAATCCTCCAATCTCTCCTTGTGAGTTTTGAAGAATATGAGCGACTAAGGGTGTACAGTTCTTCAATTAAAAAAAAAAGTGCCCAAATTTTGTGACCGGCATGCACCAGTATCGTACATGTACATTTGCTGGCAGGATTTAATGTGCAAGTACCCAACACTGCCCGATGTGTACTGATACCTGTAATACATGTAATACATGTAATACTGTAGGTCATTCCAATTCAATAGACAGAAAAGCAGAATTTGACTTTGAAAATAGCACCCTCTAGGGAGGTTGTTCTTGTCAAAGCTGTAACATGTACAGTACATGTACAAGTACCGGCACATGTATGTTACTACACAGGCTAATTTGTGCTGAATGCGCACAAGAACGGACCACAAGGGTAGGCAGTCCAACTAAAGGGTTAAGGTGTCAAGCCCTGGGAGTAGAAACGAAATACCAGAAGCTTACAGGTACCCAATAAATGTCCACTGGATGGGGCTTTATCAATTGCAGTTGTGAGGATTTCCTTTATGTGGAAGCCAGGCTGCATTCAACATGTTCAATGTGCAAGTCTGTGTGCATGACTTGTGCATCCATGTGTGTGCAATGGAAGTGGCAGCAGCTGCTAGCTAGTGGTTTCTCTTGTTTCTACTCTACCTACCGGTACATGTAACGGTGTTGCAGACTTCAATTTTAATGTACTGTCAGCCACGATCATAAGGATACAACTCTTTGCTTTTTATAAGGAGAATCATTTCCCGTCCCCTGCTTTGCTCACTTCATGCAATAGACCGATTACGTCCGCTAAATCACATGACCTACCGGTATAGTGGGTATCGACCCCATAGCAACGTGTGTTTTGAGTGTTGTTAACGAGCAATACAACAAGGTTACAGGATAGCACCCAGCACATCAGTAGTCCGAGTATGGTGCTTACAGTCGGCTTTATTTTTGGTAAATGTTACTTCACACACTTTGCTTTGGGTGGACGCTGCGTTTGTTGATGTCTAATATCCACTATAGGTCACATGACTTAGCTGGCGCAATCGGTCTATTCAGCAGTCACCTTGCAATCTTCTTGGACTTAATGGCCGTTTATGCAGGTGGCATGGCATACACCGAACAGTGGAATAAAATCGGCTTCAGCAGTTTAATTAAGTTGCATTTCACAGGGTGCCTTACATGTACATGGGGTTAGCATTTACATGTGTACACATGTAAGTACATACAGTACATGTATGTACCTGTACAGTATGCTTTTCTGACGAAAGTGTCAACAGTACAGTAGTTTTCATCCTGATTTAACACCATATTTAAATTTTTTAAACAAACAGGTTGTGTGCAAGAAGTGCTACATGTATGCACATATTGCATCACAGCGTTTTAAAAAAATATGGCGTAAAGCTGAAAAGCAATGTACATGTACATGTACCATTAACGAAGTACTTCAGCATGACTAACACACCAGTGACTTGTTAATGCGTGTACAAAGTCAATGTACATGCTTGCAAATCATACATGTACATGTACGTGTAGTTTGCTCATCATAAATTCAGAGTATGTGATGTTTACTGTCTTGAAACACTCTGTACATTTTCAGGTACCAGCATTGCTGTCCATGTCTCCTGCTTTTTTTCTTGGAGACAATTTTTAAAAGTCATTATCTTGCCGAAGTTCTTTTCAACAGAACTGGGATTTACTGGTATTCCACTTCTGGCCCTCACTTTAGAATTTATTTTTAATGTCTACGTAACATTCCTTTTTGTGAACAGATGCACCGCTACCTGCATTATGTACTTTTTTCCCCCAAAGACAAACAAGTACAGCAGAATGGTAAGCAGATGTACATGTATTTTTCAAGTGACAGCTTCTGTGTGCACATAATTCCATGGGGCATTAAATAATTCACAATTCAATTTTCGGGCGCAGCTTTGACGTCCTCATTTTCAAAGTTCAATGGGCCACACACGTGTGATTTCTCAATCCTAGGAATGCCTACCGCCATGTGCGACACTTGCAGTAATTGGCCGGGGGGGGGGTGCCTTACATGAGAAATGGGCGTTCTGCCCACGGAAGCGTGGGAAATCACTTGGACCTGAAGGCTAAATCAGCACGATGCAGAGCCACATTTGCTAACGACAGAAAATGTTAGCAGGCTACCAGTACCAGACTGGTTCTGCTTAACAACTTTGTGAATCTGGATGCCACACCAATAAATCTCGAGCATAGTACCAGTACATTGTACCAATTCATTTGTACAATGTACATGTGTACATTAACATTCATGTATAGGGTCTGTACTTCCCAGTATTTTTTTTAATTTTAGTACATGTATACAAAAAACATGTACATGTACCATACATTGGAGCTGGGTTATTCGACCTTCAATTCGATTGAATAATCGAATATTCAGTTGTACCGACTGGCAGATTGTTGATGAATAAACATATACAAAATCAGCTGCAGTAACGCACACTATTGTACATTATAATCAATATAATACCAGTAGCTTCTCACATCTAGGAGTATCGGTATCTCCAGCCATGATTTAACAAGATTTAAGAGATGAACAATACTGTCCTTCTTGCCTAGTTGAAAATTTCTATTCCTTTTAAATTGTCTAATGATTTACTTTTTTTTTAATCGTTGTAAGATTTCCGTCGCTTTTCATTTGAATCTGCTTGAAACAAGCCTCCATAGTGCAGTTTTTCTCATTTAAAACAAAACTTTTCCTTCTTTTCACAAATTCTGAATTCGAATATTCGAATTCGGAAAATAATATTCAAATATTTGAAAATCGACAGAATTTGGTAATTCAGCCCTAACATTTAGGTACAATACATGTATGTACAGTACATGTAGGCAGGATCATTTTGTATATTGTACGTACCGGTACATGTCTTTTTGAAACTGCATGTTTTGAAAAATCTGCAGGCTATAGTTCCGGTACATGTACCTTGTCCATTTACATGTAATGGTAATTTGTTCACAAAATGGCGCAGGGCTGTGAGAACCACTGACACCCATTTCAGCAAGGGGTTTAAGCGCACGATAAATGGTACACAGATGTGAGTAAATATGCGGGCAGATGAATGAGCTGGAGTCTACTGTAAACATGCTCTATCAGTTCAGTAAGGGATTTACAAATTTGCCTTGGGCTTGCATGTCTATGTGTACATGGTGCAAATGAGGAAGCTGGCAAGGTATCTGATTTAATTCGCCACCTTGCCCGGATATTACTGAAACCAAAGCTACATGTACGTGTCCATAAATATCTTAATTCTGTACACTGGTGCAACTGACAAGAGATGTACATGTATCCTCAGTATTCTGAGTACAAGGAATGTTTGATTCCCTTTTTCAAAATGTGACATTTTACATATTTCCCTATTCAACAACACGCTATGTGACCATGTATAAATTAACATAAGATAATGCCCGTTGTGATTTGATAATGCATGGTACGAAAGACGCTCTGGCACCTGGGTATGAGACAATTTACATGTAATCCATTCCTATTGGTCAAGAGTCTGTGTGCACTGTAGCATGCAGAACTCACCACGTGTGTGAAATCCATAAAAGGAGATTCTCCTGGACTACTTCCTCAAGGAATATACCATAAAATGGACGGGGATGTTTGGGAAAATGAAAGTAAAATTCTGGACCAAAATCCTTGGCAATTTATCATACGGATACATGTATATTGACTTCTTTTGACTCTTTCACTAAAACCGTATTTGAATGATAATAAATATGTACTTGGTTAGTCTTAAATTAATGTTTAAGATGGCTCAGAAGGACAAACGCTGATAATGCCCTCACCTGTGGCTGGGGCATTCGTCCATTCTCCTCAGCTAGTCTCAAATACACCAATCAAGCACATACCGTATTTATTCCCCATGTAATTGAGCAACTACATGAATGCATCCTCGAATGTGTCAAATGTTTTGTGAGACACATTCCTGAGTCCTCCACAGTCATGGTAAGAGACCAGTTACTGTACCTGTACCTCCCAACTTTATCCAGTGGTCAAACTCTGACCAGAGTCTACATTGTACATGTACATGAACCTGTGTGATGTACATGTACATTACATGTACATTGACTTGGGATGGCCCCAATAGCATCTGCAGTGTGCAGAGTAAGGCATGCCCAACTAAATTTGGGGAGAGCACTGTGAAAAAAAAAACCAGAACATGGGCAAGCAGTAAGTGCTGGAGTCATGAAACCCGAGTGAAAAGAAATATGTACACACAGAGTTCAAAATGGAACCACAGTAAACAAAAAAGTGACATTTGCAAGGAGAAATGCGAAGAACATCATTGTGAATGGTACGAACATCAGTAATGACTGATGTTCAAGTACATGCACTATTTTCAATAACCCCCCTACCACAACGTAACTTCAAATTCAAACTGGAACCTTAAATCCCTGCACCTGTACAAAAAAAGCTGAAATTCTGAGTAAAAATCTACGTAAACAAAAAGAGCTAGAATCAGCTGAAAAACAAGATTCTCACACCCGTTTTTATGATCAATCTGTAGGATATTTACAGTCTGGAATGCTTGCCTTTATCAACACAGTTGGGCCTGCCACAAGAACCATTACATGAGCACCTTCAAGGCACTGAACAAAACTGGGGCAGTGGACTGAGTCAGGCTCACAGTGACATGCCAATGTGCGTTACTGGAGCCAAAACCTCCCGGTTGCCATGTACGGGTACATTTATGTTAAAACAGCATCAGTGCCACCTATCCACATGTGTACAAAGCTTTGCCCGCATGCAAAATACATGTATGCCCGCCAAAGGGATGTCGTTGTTGCTACATAAAAAAAGGGCATGATCACTCGTATCAGCATCCTTCTTTTTTAAAATACAGTACAACAGAGTAACGGTAATTTTTAACCTACAGCAGCAAACAGAGGGAATTTAAAAGTTGAACGAACATTCAGCTTTGACAGTTTTAACATGAATTCTGTAAAATTGCTGGGGTTGTACGAATGTAATTGTTTACATGCACCTTTGTTTACCTGTGGGGTGGTTGAAAGCATGGAGGAAAGAACAACAAAGTCATTCATGGTTGAAACTGAAAGGAAATATGTGACCCACTCTGTGAAAAATGAGTCTTAAGTCACCAGAGCCGCTTTGGAGTAAAAAGGCCTTTAGAATAACTTTGCGCAGTGTAAATCAACAGGAACCCACAGAGTTTTTCACCATGGAGTATCCACTTTCATCAAACAAAAAAACTCAATTTGCCCTTTCCAATACAAATGAAAAGTCCAAAAGTGGCTCTGGTGACTGAAGACTCATTTTCACAGAGGGGGTCACATTTCATGCATTTAGGAGTAATGCTTCAAATATTGTTTCAAAAATAATGTAAGATACATGCACCATGTTTTTCATTGCTGCTGAGAAAAGCCCAGCTTGTTAGGTGTTGTGTGTGAAACTTAGGTCCAAGGCAAGTGATGGACAGTACATGTAGTTTCTAACTCATTTTAAATCTTTCTAGATACACTGACATAATGTGTACTTTACGTATCAGTCCAAACTTACTGTACCTTTACAGCCTCGGCAGTCTTTTTCAAGGGAAACAATCTGTTTTAAAAGGTGGGAGGGGGGGGAGTCTAAGGAGTAAGGTTGTACATGATGTAGTAAAAATTTACATGTAACATTAGACCATAGACCGAGGCTGAAATATTCCTGATAACAGAGAAATTCCTAGCATTTTCATTTCTAGCAATCCCAACAGCGAAACTGTCCTAAACATGGTCCTATATAAAAAGCAGCACTGTGTGTACATTGCTGTCTGCAAGGCCTGTCAAAACATCTATAAACACATGGTCAAAACCTCACTGATCAGAAGTAACACTCACTCACAGGAACTAGGACTGTAGGAGCCTTCTCATTCATTCTCCCACCTGACCACGCGCCGACACGGCTTACAGTCAGCCATACTGACCTCCTTAACCGAGCCCAGGGACATGTCTCAGTTTACATTCATATCTGGTCACGGTGCTGAGTGGTAGGCCTGGCACACTGAATTACGGACGTAGTCTCGAGCATACATGTACATCCTAGTACATGTACGTACATGTAGGCTGCCTGCCATTCATGTCAATCGCGTTGGCTTAGGCCCACTAAATCTTCTGGGAATAGTAAATACGTACTGTACATGTAATATTTATACAGGCAATTTGCAGTTTTAATTGACATACCTTTCAGATCTTTCCTGAAAAACAGAGAGCAGTATTCCTTCACAGGTCAGACAAGTACACAAATCGACAAATTAAGACTGGGTGGTCACTAGTGCAGTCACATAATAGTACAGCTCAGTGCATGCGGTGCATGTCCAAGCTGCGTACCACGCAATGTGTGTACGCGCCCACAACGTATAACATTGACACGCATGAGCTGGCTATAGACGTCTCTCGAGGCTGTATCGTTGAAGCCATCCCTGGATCTTGTCCTGTTATTTAAATTGTGAATTTAATGGTATTTAAAGATTTTACAAACTTAATACGCAAATCACCAGGCGATGTACTACCAAAGGTAATGAACATTTGTAGAAATTGGTAAAAAATGCAAAATACCGCATTTCTAAAATAATACTTGAAATATAAAGATATTCATGACAGCTTTCAAAATTGAGGGCGTCCTATCCTGTTTTTCATCACAACTAGCTACAATCCTGGACAAAATAGTTGGAACACCTTGGTCGCGATCGGGCGGCCTGTTCTTGACCCGAGTTTCGTGTTCTCGCGCTCGAGCGGCGGGAACATGACCCAAAAACACTGTTCTCGGAACAGGTTCATACACCATCTCCTCGCCAGGGTTTTACAAGAACACACGGAAAAACTTGTGATATGTGATTTTTGAAAAGCTACAAAAACTATCGAGATGGCTTAAAAAGCTGGAAACAATGGAAGCTTTCTAAAATTAACAATAATTTTTCATAACAAAAATGATTTTTAATGGAAAAGAAGTTAGCCCAATTATTCAAACATTAACTATCGATGAATGCACAAGGACGACGCCATGTTGCTTGCAACTACAAATAACTAGTACCGATAACCGGTTGTACGTTCCCAGCGTTCGAGCTGCCGAACAACAAATCGAGCTGTTCGTGAACACACGAGAACAAGCCACCCGAACTCAGCCCTTGTGGGAAGCGCGATGCAAAGATCCCCTCTCCCCATTCAATGTTGCGTTCATTTATTGGACCAAGATTCGGCCCAACTTACCCAATGAGAAGCAACATTGACAGGGGGCGAGGAGGGAGGCATGTTCCAACGAGATTTGTCCAGGACTGTCTCTAAAAAGACCAGTTCGTAAGTGTGACGTCACTTGAGTTTTAACCGTGCTCACTGTACACGTGCACTTCACATTGGGTTACATGCATTAATCTCCAGTATATAGACTGGATAGGACATTGCGTCCAAAACGCGTCCCGCGTATGCGTATTTTCAGGAGGGTAAATGACGAGCGTTGCGAATTTCGTTGCGTCTACTTTCAAAATGGAGTTTTTCAAAAATCGGTTGAGGTTTTTCTGCTCCATCCAATCGTCAGATTTTGAAGAAAAACTGAATTCCGCACCTGGAATGGATAAATTTGGAAAGAATAATGGTTGAGATGTACGCAGCAGTGAATTACCGGAAATCAAGTCAAGTCCGGGTGTGAGCTCAACTTTTTAAGCTGATTATATATGAATGAATTTTATTTAATTCCATTTTTTTCACTGGAAATTCAAGATTGTGGCCAGAAGATCACTTTTTGTTTCAATGTGATGGAAGTTAGCCGCGAAAAAAGTGTTCTATTCGCCTTTCCCCAAAGATGCTCCTAAAATAGTAGTAAGACTATGCGCTCAACTCTAAAGGTAGCCGCCCGCGTATATTCAAAATGGGCTTGCAGTTTTGGGGCTTTCTGTACAAGAAGAATCCGGCCCTGGAAACTACCAGTCCAAAATTCGGGATTCATAGAAATATTTTTACAATCCCTCCTGATTATGGCATGTCTTATTGTAAAAAAAAACGAGGGATCACAAATTACTAATGAGCTTGCGCGCAAAGTTCCAACCATTTGGTGAAATGCGTCCGACTGTGCTTTCCCGCATTAATTTGAAATAGCGCCCTCAGGTTTTGTGTTACATATTGCATAGGTGACCAGTCTTGTGTGTGCGGCATTCGGGAACCAAATAGTAAACCTGCATGTTTTGTGAGATTATGATTACTTTGACATTTTCCTCCATGTCAGTCGTGTTTTCCAAATTTACCTTTTTGGGGTGAGGGGTCTGGTTTTATGCCCTCACCCCCCCAGGAGGCGTGACTGAACTACCCATAGCCTACAAACCTGTTTGAAATAACAGGTACATTTTGGAAGTATTGAGTTTGAAAAGGGAGCTACTTGACTATGCCATTTTCGTAACTCCGAATTCTGATATTATAGTTATGGCCAACGAGGCACAGATTAATTAAAATGAGAACATTAAGTTTTAGTCAGCCTGATCAACATTAAGTCTAACGGGGGTAACCATGAGTTTTTATACACATTCAAATCGTGGACCTAGGCCTATAACAATAGGGGACAATAGGGTCCACGGTTGCCGAAGAGTCCACAGTTGGGAAACGTGTATAAAACATATGGGAGGTCTTCCGAAAAAGTTAAGGTATGAACAAAAGAGGAAGAATAGGGAGTCCATGATTGAAGGCGTTTACACACTTGGGTGTGTGTGTGTTTGGGGGGGTGGGAACAGGATGGCCTATGCGCCTTTTCAGGCGACAATGGGGTAAAATCCAAAGCTAATACCGATTTGACATCCATTGCATTCTCGATGTCGTTTTCTGTTCTAGAAATTCCAGCAACTAGGGATTGTTCCTTTCTTTCGTTTTCATTTCATTATTTTCCTGCTTGTATTTTTCGGGCAGACCTGTCTGACTAGAGTAAGTGATGGATCAAACATTCACATTCACGAAAAGGAGCGGCAGATGCAACGCATTTGTGGCAACTTTTGGGGTCACCCAAGAAGATATGGAACGTATCTTTTGTGAGAATTTTTCTTTGAAAATATCAAATTACTCTGCAGTTGAAAGCCAACGGAATTTGTTGTTATAACAAATGAAAATGCATTTCCATCAATAAAAGTGGGAGGCGAGTGCCGCCCGATTGTGGCCCCCCCGGATCTCTTACTATTGAATCTCCGATAATAAACATTATACGCCTGACAGCTTTTATACTGAGATCACTGAGAAGAAATGGACCCAAGACGGTTGGGATCGGTTTCACTGTCAAAAATTTCGGAAATGAATGAAAATAAATCAGCATCAATCCTGTAACTCATTATTTCAA